GTGCGCGCGCTCAGTAGACGGTAGGTGACTACGCACAGTAAGGCGGGCAGCAGCATCGCGCGTGGTCCACTGTGAGCGAACAGTACTGTCAGCATCAGCAGCAGGGGCAGTAGAGGCGCCAGACGTGAGATCGAACAGTGAGAGACCATCCTTGCTATCGCACTGTAGGATAAGCTGCAGATCATCTATCCAGACCTCGAAGTCAACCGCTCGACCCTCAGCATCAAAGGTAAGAACACTGGGACTAGCCATGACAGTAGCAGCAGCAGGCTAGCAGCAGTAGCAGCGCGACTCGGCTACGCGGCGCGGCTAGGCAGGGCAGCGCGACTCGGCAGGGCGGGCCGGCTCGGCGGTGCTCTTACCAGGGGCGGGGCCGGGGCGACAGGTCCGGGGCAGGGCCGGGGCAGGGCTGCGACAGGTCCGGGGCAGGGCCGGGGCAGAGCCAGGGCAGGGTAAGGGCAGGGTCGGGGCAGGGCCGGGGTAGGGCCGGGGCAGAGCCGCGACAGGGCCGCAATAGGGCCGGGGCAGAGCCGCGACAGAGCCGCAACAGGGCCGGGGCTGGGCCGTGACAGGTCCGGGACAGGGCCGCGACAGGGTCGGGGCAGGGCCGCGACAGGTCCGGGACAGGGCCGCGACGGGGCCGGGGCAGAGCTGGGGCAGGGCCGGGGTAGGGCCGGGGTCGGGCCGCGACAGGACCGCGACGAGCGACGGGGCAGGGCCAGGGCGAGGCCGCGACGAGGTCGCAACCGGCGACGGGGCAGGGCCGGGGCCGCGCCGCGATAGGGCCACGACGGGGCGGCTTCGGGCGACGGGGCAGGGCCAAGGCGGTGTCGCAACGGGGCCTCGAAGGGGGGCCGCTAATGGGCCGCAAAGGGGCCGCGTAGGGCAGGACAGGCCGCTAAGGGGCCGCGAAAATCGAGGGCAGGGCAGAGCGCGAAGCGCGCTTCAAGCAGTTAGGAAAAAAAAAAAAAAAAAAAAACGGTGGGCCCTTAGGAAGGAACGGTCCCACTAGGGAACCCGCTCTATACCATGTGAAGAAATGAGAATGATTGACTAGGAAATGAGTTGGGTACAAATATGAAACCCTAGGAAACTGTACCCCATAGTGTCTACCCCACTACAGCCTACACAGGCTATGTGATTAATGTTTGACAGTTTCTTCGAAGTTTCGTTCCCATACACCCACCATCTAGATCGGGCGAATCTGTTATGTCAGATTTTGGGTTGCTGTTATTGGTCGAAATAGATGTGCTCTAACACAGCGCCAGTCACATCGCCACAGTGCCAGTCACATCGCCACAGATGTCCTGAGTGAGTGAGACTTCTGTCCTCGGTAAAGAAAGAGCGCGTTACTACGACCCTGATTTTCAATTCTCGACCCTGAACATTCAGAGTTCACTACTTCTCAACCCTGAGCAATCAGGGTGCTGTTTTTCTGGAAAATGTGCCTTCAGGGTTTTTTTTTTTTTTTTTTAGGTTGAAATCAGGGTACCTAAATTTGAAAAGTCAGCCCTGGCAGGGACGCGGAGTAAGGGAAAGTAATTTTCCTTACACTACCCCCCCCCTCCCCCCCAAGGGAGGCCTCCCTTACGAGAGCGCGTGTATATCTCGGAAATTTCGGCTGCGCAGGTACTCGTTGAGGACGGGGTGGTTTTCGATGTTGCCCAGGGGGACCCAATTATCCTCGGTGGGCGTGCGATCTCTCCAGCGGATAAAAAATTCGACCCTTCGTGCTCCTCGTGGGTCGCGAACGCGGTGACTCAGAATCTTCTCGGGCGTGATGACTGGTTCCGTCGGTGGTCGTGTCATGCTGGCCGGGCGAGTTCGGGCAAGTTGGCTGGTGGATGGAATGTAGGGGCGAAGTAGGTTGACTTGGAAGGACGGACTGACGTACCAGTCAGCAGGGAGGAGGAGGTGGGCGGTGACGGGTGTAATCATGTGGCTGATGCTGAATGGCCCACAATATCGGGGGCGGAGTTTCGGAGTTATGGGCAGGCGGAGGTTTTGGGTGTCGAGTAGAACTAAGTCGTCGGGCTGGTAAGTGACGGGTCAGCGGTGGCGGTCGGCATTGCGCTTAGCGATGACGTTGGCTTTTTTAATTGCGTCTGCTGCCCTAGTCCGTGCTTCCTGTAGGACTTCTACGAATTGTTGCGCGCGTGGCACCGTGTTGTCGGAATTCGGAGTCATGGGTATTGTAGGGCCTTGTCCGTAGTTCAGGTAAAATGGTGACTGTTGGGTCGTGGCGGATGGCGAATTGTTGTACGCGAATTCGATTAATGGCAATTGCTGTTCCCAGGTGGTGGGGTCGTCGCACGTGGCTCGGATTAACTGCTCCATGGTATGATTTGTCCGTTCTGTCTGTCCGTCAGTTTTGGGGTGGTACGAAGAACTGAACTGCAGCCTCGTGCCGAACTGCTGCCACAGGTTTCGCCAGAAATTGCTGGTAAATTTCGTATCGCGGTCGCTGATGATCGCGGCTGGTATCTCGTGTAACCGAACAATGGTTGCGATGAAGAGGCGGGCCGTCTCTTCGGCTGTGATTGATTTTCTGCATGCTGCAAAATGTGCCATTTCGTCAATCGATCGACGACGACCAGGATCGCGTCGTTCCCACTTGCTCTGGCCGGTAACCCCGTGACGAAATCCATCGTCACCTGCTGCCAAGCACGCTTTGGGGGTGGTATCGGCTGCAACTGTCCTGCCGGTCGCTTCCGTGATGATTTCATGACTTGGCAGGTGGGACACAATGCCACGTGTCGTTGCACATCGATCAACATTTCGGGCCAATAGTGGTACTGTTGCAGCTGCTGCCGTGTTTTTTCTACTCCGAAATGGCCTAAGGTGACTCCGTCGTGTGCCTCTTGCAATAGTAATTCCCGTAGGAGTGTCTAGCCCGGTACCCAGATGCGATCGGTGCCGGCTTTTACGTAATAGATTCCCCGTGCTGTTTCAAACTGCTGCGAATTTCCACCCGTAAAAAATGGGTCAGTCTGATAACTGTGGGTAAATAGGCCTGTCAGCAGTGGGCTGGTCTGGGCAAGTAGTATGGCGTGGACTTGGGCTGTGGGCCGGGTTAATGCGTCGGCGATGTTCGATGCCCCTTTTTTGTAGGTGACCGTGTAGTGAAAATTCGACTCGAGGTAGTCGAGCCAGCGGATTTGTCGTGGGTTGAGGTGGGGTTGTGCGCGGAGGTACTGTAGCGATGTGTGGTCTGTCCGTACTATCACGTCGGCGCCGGTCTGTCAGAATGTATTTGCTGTCTAGCCTGCAGTGGGGTACTCTGTAATGAGTACAACCCAATTTAGGGTGTTGTATTTGTATCCCAACTCTTGCTAGCAAAACTCCTCATTCTCCTTTCCAATTCCTCTCGACACTAAACTCTCTCGACACTCATGTCTAGAACCCAAGCCATGGTTCCTAAGTCACGCTAGTAATCTAACATGGTATTAAGAGCAATTAGTCCTAGGACCTAATGTTAATGGGCCCACCACCTACTGCCCTGTTAGCCTAGGCCCCGGCCCGTCGCCCCTTGGCGTCGCCCCTAGCCCCTAGGCTCGGCCCCTTGGCCCCGTCGCCTCGGCCCCGCTGGCCCCGTCGACTTCGTCGCCCGCGCCCCGTCCCGTACCTAGCCCGTCGCCCGGCCCGTTCCTAGCCCGTCGCCCGGCCCGTACCTAGCCCGCGCCCGGCCCCGTCTCCTGCCCGCGCCCGGCCCGTACCTAGCCCGACGCCCGGCCCGTACCTAGCCCGTTGCCCGGCCCGTACCTAGCCCGTCGCCTCGGCCCCGCTGGCCCCGTCGACTTCGTCGCCTGCGCCCGGCCCGTACCTAGTCCGTCGCCCGGCCCGTACCTAGCCCGTCGCCCGGCCCGTACCTAGCCCGTCGCCTCGGCCCCGCTGGCCCCGTCGACTTCGTCGCCCGCGCCCGGCCCGTACCTAGCCCGTCGCCCGGCCCGTACCTAGCCCGTCGCCCGGCCCGTACCTAGCCCGCGCCCGGCCCCGTCTCCTGCCCGCGCCCGGCCCGTACCTAGCCCGACGCCCGGCCCGTACCTAGCCCGTCGCCCGGCCCGTACCTAGCCCGTCGCCCGGCCCGTACCTAGCCCGTCGCCTCGGCCCCGCTGGCCCCGTCGACTTAGTCGCCCGCGCCCGGCCCGTACCGAGCCCGTCGCCCGGCCCGTACCTCGCCCGCGCCTGGCCCAGTACCTAGCCCGCGCCCGGCCCATACCAAGCCCGCGCCTGGCCCCGTCCTTCGCCCAGCGCTCGGCCCCGTCTCTTGCCTGCGCCCGGCCCCGTACCTAGCCCAGCGCCCGGCCCCGTACTTGCCCAGTGCCCGGCCCCGTACCTGCCCAGCGCCCGGCCCCGTACCTGCCCAGCGCCAGGCCCTGTACCTGCCCTGCGCCCAGCCCTGTACCTGCTTTGGCCCCTCGGCCCCCCCCCTCAGAGACCGGCGCCCGCCCCCCCCCCCCCCCACCGGCCCCTTGTTTGGCCCCTCGGCCCCCTAGGCCCCTCAGCCCCCCCTAGGCCCCTCGCCCCCCTAGGCCCCTTGTTTGGCCCCTCGGCCCCCTAGGCCCCTCGGCCCCACCTCAGAGACTGGCGCCCGGCCCCCCCCCCCCCGGCCCCTTGTTTGGCCCCTCGGCCCCCTAGGCCCCTCGGCCCCTTGTTTGGCCCCGCGGCCCCTAGGCCCCTCGGCCCCACCTCAGAGACAGGCGCCCGGCCCCCCGCCCCCCCCCCCCCCCCTTGTTTGGCCCCTCGGCCCCCTAGGCCCCTCGGCCCCCCTAGGCCCCTCGGCCCCTTGTTTGGCCCCGCGGCCCCTAGGCCCCTTGGCCCCACCTCAGAGACCGGTGCCCGGCCTCCCCGGCCCCTTGTTTGGCCCCTCGGCCCCCCCTAGGCCCCTCGGCCCCACCTCAGAGACCGGTGCCCGGCCCCGTACCTGCCCAGCACCCGGCCCCGTCCCTAGCCCAGCACCCGGCCCCGTACCTGCCCAGCGCCCGGCCCCGTTCCTAGCCATGGCCCCGTCGCCCCTAGCCATGGCCCCTCGCGACCTGCCGCCCCTAACCGCAGCCCCGGTGCCCTGTTGCGCCATGGTGGGTGAGGGGGTGGCAAGAGGGGGTTCCTCCTGCCCGCGTGCCCTACAGTCGCACGCGCAGCTCCGCCCCCGCCCCCCTCCCCCCCCTCCCCCCCCCTCCATGGGGATGGCGGGGAGAGGGGGGGGAAGCTTGGAGGTTCAGGGGGAGGCAGGAGGGGATCTGCAGCACCAGGTCCCCCACCCTTCTCCTACCTCCCCCTGCTGCGGGAGCAGCAGAGGGGGGGAGGGGATCTGCAGCACCAGCCCCCACCCCCCCGCCCCCCCCTCCCCCCCCCCCCCCCCCTTCTCCTCCATCTCTCTGCTGCGGGTGCAGCAGTGGGGGGGAGGGTATGGGGGTGGCGGGTGTGGCCAACCTGCTGTCGCCCGAGCGGCTCCTGCACCGCCCCTTCTCCTACCTCCCCCTGCTGCGGGTGCAGCAGTGGGGGGGAAGCGATCTGCCATCCCCCTGCTGCGGATGCGGCAGTTGGGGGAGGGGACCTGCAGCACCAGCCCCCCCCCCCCCCCCCCCCCCCCCCCCTTCTCCTCCATCTCTCTGCTGCGGGTGCATCAGTGGGGGGGAGGGTATGGGGGTGGCGGGTGTGGCCAACCTGCTGTCGCCCGAGCGGCTCCTGCACCGCCCCTTCTCCTACCTCCCCCTGCTGCGAGTGCAGCAGTGGGGGGGGAGGGGATCTGCGGCACCAGCCCCCCCCCGCCCCCCCCCCCCTTTTCTCCTCCAACCCTGCTGCGGGTGCAGCAGTGGGGGGGAGGGGATCTGCAGCAGCAGTGGGGGGAGGGGATTTGCAGCATCAGCCCCCCCCCTCCCCCCCGCCCTTTTCTCCTCTCTCTCTCCCTGCCGCACCCTGTGTTGGGAGGGGGGGGGAGCTTGGAAGTTCAGAGGGAGGCAGGAGGGGATCTGCAGCACCAGCCCCCCCCCCCCCCCCTTCTCCTCCATCTCTCTGCTGCGGGTGCAGCAGTGGGGGGGAGGGTATGGGGGTGGCGGGTGTGGCCAACCTGCTGTCGCCCGAGCGGCTCCTGCACCGCCCCTTCTCCTACCTCCCCCTGCTGCGAGTGCAGCAGTGGGGGGGGAGGGGATCTGCGGCACCAGCCCCCCCCCGCCCCCCCCCCCCTTTTCTCCTCCAACCCTGCTGCGGGTGCAGCAGTGGGGGGGAGGGGATCTGCAGCAGCAGTGGGGGGAGGGGATTTGCAGCATCAGCCCCCCCCCTCCCCCCCGCCCTTTTCTCCTCTCTCTCTCCCTGCCGCACCCTGTGTTGGGAGGGGGGGGGAGCTTGGAAGTTCAGAGGGAGGCAGGAGGGGATCTGCAGCACCAGCCCCCCCCCCACCCCCCCCCCCCCTTTCTCCTCCACCCCCTGCTGCGGGTGCAGCAGTGGGGGGAGGGGATCTGCAGCAGCAGTGGGGGGAAAGGAGTTGCAGCATCAGCCCCCCCACCCCCCCCCCCCCCCCCCCCCCCCCCCAGCCCTTGCTGCTGCCCTGCGCGCCCCGCGCGCCCTGCCGCCCTGCTGCCCTGCTGCCCTGTGCGCCCCGCGCGCCCTGCAGCCCTGTGCGCCCCGCGCGCCCTGCTGCCCTGCTGCCCTGTGCGCCCCGTGCGCCCTGCTGCCCTCTGCACGCGCCATGCACATCACCCCCCCCCCCCCCCCCCCCCCCCCCCCCCCCCCCCCCTTCTCCTCCATCCCCTGCTGCAGGTGCAGCAGTGGGGGAGGGTATGGGGGTGGCGGGTGTGTGAACCGTCCCCTGCTCCTCCTCCTCCTCTGTCTCCCACTGCTGCAGCTGCCGCTGAGGGGGGTGGGTGTGTGGGAGCCTAGGGAGTGGTGCTAGGGGGGTGACGTGGGAGTGGAGCTAGGGGTGCAGCAAGGGGTGTGTGAAAGGGGGGTGGGACAGTTGGGGGAGGTTGAGCGGAGGTAGCCGTCGTGTCACCAGCAGCGCCAATAGTCCGGAGGCTACAATCTCCGGTAGCCCAGCGAGCCTGCTGCGCCTGTCGCCTGTGGGTCCGTTGCTCCTGCCGCTCAGAGTTAGCCGCAGAGCCAGTTACTCCTGTAGTCCGGGGATACGGCTCCGGTAGCCACAGTGCGCGCCGCTCCTGTTGCCCGTGTGTCTGCAGCATCAGCCGCCGCCTCCTATCTCCTCTCCTCTCACAGTCCAGCCTCCTCCTCACTTGCCTTTTGTGTATGCCTCTAGCTTTGCTTGTACTTGTGAACCTGCTCTATGACTGCTTGCTCTGCTGATTATACCCCACTTTGACTATGGGGGTGTGTCAGAATGTATTTGCTGTCTAGCCTGCAGTGGGGTACTCTGTAATGAGTACAACCCAATTTAGGGTGTTGTATTTGTATCCCAACTCTTGCTAGCAAAACTCCTCATTCTCCTTTCCAATTCCTCTCGACACTAAACTCTCTCGACACTCATGTCTAGAACCCAAGCCATGGTTCCTAAGTCACGCTAGTAATCTAACACGGTCAGGTAACAGCGCCACACTTTGAACGCATGCACGATTGCAAGCATCTCGCAATCGTGTATCGGGTAATTCTTCTCGGGCGGATGCAACTTTCGTGATTCGTATGCGATGGGCTGTAAACCGTTGCCGAAATCCTGTAGCAGTACAGCTCCGATGGCGATGTCGCTTGCGTCGGTAACCACTTCGAATGGGCGGTGTGGGTAGGCGATGTGCAGGACGGGCGGTGAACAGAGAACATTTTTTAGGGTGGAGAAGGCAGCATGCTCTTTCTCCCCCACGTAAAAGTGCCCCCCTTCCGCAGTAAATCCGTCAGTGGGGCAGTTAAGCGGGCCATGTCTGGGACGAACCGACGCACGTAATTAACAAACCCTAAGAAACTCTACAGTTCCGTGATGTTCATAGGGGGGTTCCACGCTTTCACCGTGTCCAGCTTCTTGGGGTCGATTTCGACTCCAGCCTCGGAAATAACGTGCCCCAAAAACTCTAGTCTATCATGAAAAAACTCGCACTTGGAACCCTTGGTCAGTAGTCTGTGTTTGTCTAAAACTGTAAATACTGCTTCTAAATCGGCTAGGTGCTGCTGCTTGTCACGACTGTAGACGAGAATGTCGTCGAGGTAAACGATCACACATTTATCTAAGAGTGGTCTAAACGCCTCATTCATAGTCATCTGAAACGTCGCCGGTGCGTTGGTCAGCCCGAAGGGCATCACCGTGTACTCGAATGACCCGTACCTAGTCCTAAATGCCGTTTTGGCGCAGTCCAATGGTCCGACTCGAATCTGATGGTAACCCCCTCGTAAGTCGATTTTCGAAAAGACTCTCGCTGTTTGCAGTTGATCTATCAGTTCGTCGGCGCGGGGGATAGGATATCGTGATTTGACTGTAACCCTGTTCAGTGCTCTGTAGTCGATGCACATGCGAAATCCTCCGTCCTTTTTCGGTGTGAACATGATCGGTGCAGCGAACGGTGACGAGCTCGGTCGGATGAATTTTTTCTCTAATAGGTAATCTAACTGCTTCCTTAACTCGTCGAGTTCGGGCTGTGTCAGTCGGAACTGTTGCTGTATAGTTGGCTGTGCCCCGGGTTTTAATTCTATTCGATGATCATGCGCCCGCTGAGGTGGCAGTCCCTCCGGTAAGTCGTCGAGAAATATCCGCGGAAATTGTTTCAATAATTCTTGGAGCTCGGGTGGTACTGCCGCCAGTAATTTTTGGAAATCGTTTAGCTGTTCTGCTTCCTCCACCATCGCAATATCTACCGCGTACACGTCAGCTCCAGCGGCGACAGCCCTTTTCATCGTGATGGCGTTGACGTGGACCGTTGATGACTCGGGCGACTGCCAGCGAGGTAATTCAGCCCAGTTACCGCTACTTCGCACAGTGCAGCTACCCGTCGTCCAGTCAATTCGCGGGTTGTATCGTCGCAGCCAATCACGTCCCAGTAGAATGTCGTGCCCATCCAATGTCATCGCGAGCATTTCCTGTGTAAACCCGAAGTTTCCCCCACAGCGGACTTTTACTCTCTCCACTTTTTCCCGTATGGCCAGCGGTGTTCCGTCAACTAAACGTGCATCGATCTCTGGTAAACATCGACTAAGTGCCAGTTGCAACTTCCTTGTAGTCGCGGTGTTAACTAAACTGTGACTTGCGCCTCCGTCTATAAAAATCTTCACTGCTGCTCCCTGTATTTTCCCGTGAATCAGTACTGGGCAATCCGTCGCTGTACCCTCCTTATTTGTCCGAGCCCGATCGATAGCGTGAATCGGTACTGTGACTCGGCGAGGGTTGGTGAAGTTGGGCGAGCAGGCAGTCTCGTCAGTAGTTGGCCCATCATCTACTGACTGCTGGCGTTTCCCGGCCTCCGAGACTCTCGCCCCTGCTCTGTTCCACGGCGCCTTAGCTCCTCTGGACATTCACTCTTGCGATGGCCTGGCCTATTGCATGCAAAGCAGCGCCCCTTAAACGGTGCGGCATCTGCATTTGTCGCAACGGCATGTACGGTGGCGTGCTCGATCGGCCCCCGAGGACGCTGTCCATAGTAGGACCCCGGTCTCGGTCGTCGTAGAATGTCGATTTTCTCGGCGAGCGCGAGGATCTCGTTAAAATTCGAGAGCCCGCGTAGCATGATTTCGTGCGAGATGTCAGGCTTTAACCCTCCGACGTAATGGTCCACCCGCTCCGCTTCGTGCATATAGCCGACTTGTTCGCATAGTGCGAGAAAACCACTCGTATAGTCTTGAACCGACCCGAGTTGCCGCCAAGTGCGCAGTTTCTGGCGTGCTGAGATCGAAGCCGCGATTGGCTCGAAACGCGCCCGAAGTCCTGCGCACCACGCATCCCACGTGCTGTACTGGGCTGTTTCGCAGAATGATTTCCAGGTGACGGTTGGGCCCGTGGGCCCGTCCTCTTGCGACGGTGGCTCGTAGGCGCGTGGCGATGTCATGATGACTCGCCACCAGTCCATGGCAGGGCCCCTCAGCAGCGAAACAGCGTAGCGAATCTTCGCTGCGTCCGACTCGACGTAGTTCGCGTCGAAGAATACGTTCATCGTGAAGACCCACGACTGAACCGTCGGACCCCCACGTTGGCTTGGGTCGAAACAGGGCGGACGCTGCGGTTTGAGTGGCATTGGTGCTGTGATGGCGTACTCGCCACTTGTCGCTGCGAATTCCACGTGCCGACGGACTTCGCGGGGTTCCCGTGGGCTTGGTGTGACTCTGTTTCACTCCATGCCAGGCATTGAGTGAGCGGCGCCCTCACTGGCTACGCCTGAGCGCTGTCCCATGCTGCTGAGTGTTGGTGTGCCGGAGGAGATGACGATCGGCTCCTCGGAGTGTGCAGGTTGTCAGAGGTCCATAGGAGATCCCCGATTAATCCTAGAGAAGGGTTACAGGCTCGTTGTCTTGGGGGGTTATGGGCGCACTGACCCGCTACTTAACAAGCCCTTTTATCCCAGTGGTCTAGTGACTGGGATTCTGACATGGTATCAGAGTGAAGGTCTCGGGTTCGAATCCTAGTGTGTGCACTTCGGGCACCCCAGTGCGGGGGGTGTCAGAGGTCCACTGGAGATCCCCGATTGATCCTAGAGAAGGGTTACAGGCTCGTTGTCTTGGGGGGTTATGGGCGCACTGACCCGCTACTTAACAAGCCCTTTTATCCCAGTGGTCTAGTGACTGGGATTCTGACACAGGTGCGTTTGTTGGTGTTGGTGCATTCACTGTCGATTGTTGGCGAGCGGAATCGCGTTCCGCCGTGAGTGTGGCGATTTCAAGCGCCGATTCTTCGAGTTGGCGTATGAGCCGGTCTAGTTGTTCATGTGTCAATGTCGCGACATTAAGTTCTGCCATGGCGGGGTGTCGGGCGAGCTCAGCGAGAGCCTCTGTCGTGGCCGTGCGTGCTTACGAGAGAGCACTACGAGCGGCGGTGCTTGGTCGCTGAGGTACGTCTACCCCCCCCAAAAAAAATTGAGATAGTGGGAAGCGAAGGTGTGGGTGCGGTCCGAGAGAAGATCGTAGGCTCTGATAACCAAGCGTTACGAGTGCAATTGAGTGAGTGAGCGAAGATTGCACTATCGAGGCAAAGAATACAATGAGCGAAGGATTGAGCGAAGAATATATAGCGAAGCTATGGTGGTAACGGTAACGTGGGAAATTGGGGTGCGCGACGTGCCTAGTGCCGAGGTTGGGGACTGTCGAGGTGGAGGTCCGGAGCGCGGGTTACCAACCGAACCGTGAGGTTGGGTCGCATCGTGAACAGTGGCGGGAATGGTGTCGAGGCGAATGTCGCGAGTGGTAACGGAATATTGTGGGGTGTTGTTGGCGGGAACAGTGGTGTACGCGCTGAGCAGGGACGCGAAGTAAGGGAAAGTAATTTTCCTTACATCTCCCAACTTCTTTCCACCATAACATCATACATGACTCCTTACATCTGGAGGACAAATCAGTACAAATAAAATCCCAAAATTTTCCTGTGCTGCTCACAGGTGAATGTCTATCAAAACAGGAACTACAAAATTTCTCCTGTGCTGTCACAGGAACAATCTCAAATCTAATCTGGCACCTGCTTCAGAATCAGCTGCTGCATCCTCTCTATTCCCAGGCTCCATTGCTTCTGGATCTTTTGCAGCACTCTGGCTTCTCTCCACCTGTTCACTCCCCTCTACACTGGTCTGTCGCTTTTGCTGCTGCATATCTACTGGTAATCCTTGTTCTGGTTGTGGCTGCTGGAGAGTCTTACAGCGAAGCTGCTCGTTCTCCCTGCGAGCATAGCTGTGGTGTTCTCCCAGGTGCACAAACTCGTGCATCTCTCGTGGAGATAGCTTAAATGGGGGATATGCAGTTTCTGTTGAGGGCTGGACTCTTTCTGGCGTTGCCAGGCGGACAGTCTCTTGGTGCTGGTGATGCTGTATCTGCTGCTGTGCTGAATGCTGCTGCTGCATCTCCTGCGTTAGACGTTGCTGCTGCTGATGCTGATGCTGTTGCTGCTGTTGATGCTGCTGCTGCTCCAACTGCTGTTGCGTCTGGTACCCTTGAAACTGCTGCCACTGCCCTTCCACCCTTCTCACCATACCACCCGCTGAACCGCCAGCACTCCAATCCACCTTTCCCTGAACCTGTGAGCGACCCTGCGACGACAGCAAGGCCGCAATCGAGCTCTCAGCAGCACGGGCGGGCTGGCTGGGAGTGGAATCTGAAGTGAGAGCTGAGGAGGACAAATCCGCAGACGGACGCATCCACCTCGTACCCCCTCCTTCCGACGAGTCCTCACCCAGGCGCTGTTGAAATTCCCGTGAGTGATGGAACGATTTCTTTGGAGGCGGCTCAAGAGCTGAGGCAGAGGAGATGGTAGATGGGCGCATCCAATCCGGCCCTGCTCCTCCTGGTGAGATGTCCGCCAGCCGTTGCTGTGGCTGATTTTCTTCAAAGGACCCTGCCGCTGTCGCCCAGTTGGGCTCTCTCCCCCCACTGGTTTCCGCAGCCCATTTTGACAGGACTGCGTAGTGTGCTGATGACTTGGACGCAGTCGCCTGGGAGGCGGGGAACCACTGTGATCCTGCAGCACAGGGGCCTGCCATTTGCTGGGAGCCTGATCCTGTTCCTGATGCTGATGCTGCTGCTGCTGATACTGATGCTGCTGCTGCAGCTGCTGGGACGGCTGCTGGTAGAGACAATCCTGAGTCCTCGGGATGATCCAAAAACAGTTCCGAGGGTCCCTTTGAAAGCGGGGATTCAAATGCCTTGTGAGACGAGCTGTGAGTCACACTGCGAGTCGCATTGAAAGTCACGCTCTGAATTGTGCTGCGGGTCGCAATTTGGAGTGCACTGTGAGTCACAATCTGAATTGCGTTTTGGGTCGCGATTTGAATAGCGCGGTGAGTTGCAGTTTGAATTGCGCCGTGAGTCGTGCTTTGAGTCGCGTTGTAAGTCGCACTGTCTGCGTCCCTGGGTGACACAAAAGTGTGGTCCATGGAAAGCCTTCTCCTCCTCGCATCCCCAGACGCAACTTCTTCCCCTCCTCCTCCTGCCTCCTCACAAGCTTCTCGTTTCGGCCTCAGCTGCGGCGATGCAACATCCCTATAAAGAGGATTCTGCTCTGGTAGCAGCACTGGCAGGGCTCCTCCAGCCAAGGGAGATGCACCTCCCTGATCTGACGCCGGAGCAAAGTGCTGCTTGGGATGCTTGAAGTGCTGGTCGTGCTGCTGCCCTGGCTGGCCAGGGTACTCTGAGTGCCCTGGATGCTCTGGGTGCTGTACGGCATGTGCTCCAGAAATTCCTGGCAGGCTCCTTTCTTCTGCAGCTCCTCCTGCCCCTCCTCTCCCTCTTCCTGCCCCTCCTCTCCCTCCTCCTGCCCCTCCTCCTCCTCCTCCTCCTCCTCCTCCTCCTCCTCCTCCTCCTCCTCCTCCTCCTCCTCCTCCTCCTCCTCCTCCTCCTCCTGCTTTCCCTGCTCTCCCTCTTCCTCCTCCTCCTCCTCCTTCCTCTCCTGCTCCTCTTCCTGCCGCTGCAACCAGAAACTTCTGACGGCGCTGCTCTTTCTCCTGCAGCCCCTGTTGCTCCTGCGGTTGTAGCGGCTGTTGCTGCTGCTGGTCTTGGTGGTGGTGGCGGTGCTGCTGCTGCCCAATCTGCTCGTTCTGTTCCTTCTGCTGCTGCTGCTGCTGCTGCTGCTGCTGCTGCTGCTGCTGCTGTAGCAACCAGGCAGGATGAGGCTGCATTCATAGCACAGGAGGAAGCAGAGGGAGGAAGAAGAGGTGGAGGAGGAGGAGCAAGAAAACAGCAAGACACGGGAAGGCAGCAAGACGCAACAGGCCAGCAAGCTCAAATGAGAAATGCACCTGAGAACGAAGACTCTCTGCTAAGGCATGACACCACCCCGCGGAAGCAAGGCACGCGGCAAAAGAAGGGCACACCGCAGAAGCAAGAGGGTGCTCTGCGGGAGCGAGAAACGTTCAAGAGCAGGGATGCTGGTGCTGGTGTTGTGAACAGTGGTGGTGGCAGTATTAGCAAGGGAAGGACCGCTGCCAGTGTAACTGTCCAATGCGACGTTGGTACTGCAGGCCCTGCTGCTGTACCATGGGCGGCACAGGCACACACGTTACAATCAAGCATGTTACGAGGAGGCAGCAGCATGGGCACAGCGTCTCTCCCTTTCACTGTGATTCCACAGCCGCTTACCGTTACAATGGGCGAGGTGAAACCTGAGCCGGTGGATGCTGGAAATCCGACCGTTGGATGGAGGGGACGGGGCGTGGGAAGTGATCCTGGCCGTGCAATGGGAGAGCGAGGAGAGGGTGAGGGGAGTGTTCCGCAGTGGGAGGAGCTTTTGGGATGTGGACAAGACGTGCCGACCAGGAGTGTACTGGAGAGTATTTTTGGTGGGCTGACTGCTCGGTCTCCCCCTGCTGGTCGCTTCGAGCGGGAACAGCAACATAAGCAGCAGCAGCACTGCTTCTTTCCAGGTGACTTTTGAGTCGACTCAATGGCCATTGTGGCTTTACTGTCTCCCTGCCTCGGTGCTACAGCAGCAACACTGTCGCTCTGCTGCTTCCTCACCCTGCTTCTCCTCTCTCCACCACCCTTACCACCAGCAGTACCAACACCACCAGCACCAGCACCAGCACCAGCAGCAGCGGCTGCTGCTTTCGCTGCCTTTTCCTTCTGTCGCTGCTGCTGTAATTCCCGGTGCCCGTTTTGGTGCCCGCCCAGTGCATGCAGGGTCGGAAATCGCGTGTGGCAAACCTTGCACTCGTGCGGCCCCGAACCTCGGATCCAGGGTCGGTTCTCCGCCGCACCTGCGTGCGGCCAGGCAGTTGAGTCTAGCAACGGGGACAAGGAAGGCCCCCCGAGGCTGAACAGCCGCTGCTGGGCGAGGCACGGGGGCAACCGAACCTCTGCCGAACCAAGTGAGTCCGAGCCTGCTGCAGAAAGAGGTATGGGATCCGCACTGGCAACAGTAGTGGCATCAGCAGCAGCAGCGGCGGCGGCTGCAGCAGCTGCTGCGGCCCCTGCTGCCGCGAATTGAACAGCAGGGGACGATGGTTCTAGGGTAGCTACTGGGACACGCCCTTCAAAAGAATCACCACCACCTCCAAACCCCGCAAACCCCTCTTGATTCCCCTTCATCTCCTGAAACTCCTGAAGCCGCTGAAGGCCCCCAAGGGCCCCTAGCCCCATAGCAGCTGCTGTTGCTGCCAACTCTGCTTTTGCCACTCCTCCCCACCGCGGCACACCTGAACTGTCAAACAACACCCCGCCTGAAGCTCTCGTCTCCTCCACAAATCCTTCCCGTGCGGGTCTAGGAACAGTTGTGATAGACCTCGGACTTGCCATAATGGTGCCTCTTTGTGCATCTGTTGCTGTTGCCGCTGCTGTCGCCGCTGTTGTTGCTTCTGTAGCAATGTCGGTTTGAAAGACAGGCTGTTGTTTCCCATCGTCCATAGGTCTGCCGCTGCTGCTTCTTTCCGTGCGCCCTTCCGCGCTCTCACCGCCCGCTCTCGCGCCCACGCTCGCGGTCACGCTTGCGCCATGCGGACGGAAACCTCCGCCCGCCGCTCCCCACGCTAAACCCGCGCCACCCACGCTTCCGCCGAGGCCCGTGCTAAACCCGCCCGCACTCGCTGCGCCCCCCTGTGTTGCGCAGGGCTCACGCAGAGACGAGAAAAACTCCGCTGAGGCGCCGTCCCCCTTCCCGCCGGCGGGCGTTGCGCGCTCGGTGGGTGATACAGGGAAGCTCCCCGCCTGCCATGGAAAGGCGTCGCTCATCCGCTCCCCCCCCCGAAACGAAACTGTTTCGTCTTTGTCCCTTCCGCCTTCCGCAGCCCTTCCGCTCCGCTTCCGCCCTCAAGCCAGTTTCCACCGCTTTTCCGTACGTTTCCGCTGCCAACGGCGAGTGACGCGCGTCGTCCACCCGGCGATCTCGCGTCCACCACTCCAGCAGAAGGAGTCGACGAGTCACCAGGGGCAGCATTATGCCGGTTCCCGCCTGAAACCGGGTTACCGCTGCGCAGACCACCCAAAGGGTCAGGGATTCGAGTAATTCGCGTAAGCCAGTCGCTCAGCTCAAGCGACGGTTCGCCCGAGTCGTCCCGCGGTCGCCCGCTGGGCGGCGGACGCAGCGCTGCGACTCCCTGCGATGTCGCATCGTCGCGGACGCGACCGCCGCCGTCTCTGCCGCTTCCGCTATCGGCGACGCCGCCGCCGTCTCCCCTCCCGGCGGAAGTTGCGGCGATGGCGGACGACATCCGCAGCTGTTCCGCCGACGAGCGCAGCGCTTCCACCGACAAGTTCCGCTGCTGCTCCCGCGCCGAAAGTTGTTGCGCTGACGAGAGCTGTTGCGCGGACGAGACCTGTTGCGCCGACAGGAGCTGTTGCGCCAATGCACTCCACAGCGCTGACGATGCGGCAAGCGACGTAAACGGCACGGGTTCCACGCCCGCCGCCGCGATTGCCGGCGACGAAAACGGCGCCGCGGGAGCCATCTCCGTGCGAAACCCTGCCGCGGCCGACGCCTGAGCGGGTGGAAACGGCACTGGAGCGTGCATTGCGGCGGAAGACGTGCCGAGAATGGAGGCGGGAGACGCGGAGGCCTGCTGAAGAAAATGCAGGGGATTTCGCGTGAAAGCCGCGACCGCGTCTCCCGCGGCGGCGGAGGCAAGCCAAGTTTGCTGCATTCCGCCTGACGGCGGCACGGAAGGTGGCGGTTCGGGAGTCCTATCACGTTGTTGCCGGCGTTGACTCTCACGACTCATCGGCGATGGATACGATCGTTGTTGCGAGTGTCGCGAGTGTCGCAATCGTTGCGACTGTCGTGAGCTTGATTTGTTCTAAGGCGCATCAGATCATGCTGCAAATCACCGCCGTCCGTCACGCCGATCATCGCGGATTCTACGGTCTCGATTCTCTCCCAGCGACGTTCTTCGGCGATTTGTTGATCACGCAATCTCGGCTGAGCACCACCCGCCGCATATTGCGCCGGTGACGGATCATTAAAAATGAAGCTTAAACGCTCGTCATTTCCGATATCATGTTGAGAATTGGTACTTCCGTCAATGTCGCGACGCCGCCGTTCTAGTAGGTGCTGGTCCGCGTCGCGCGACTCCCTTGACGTTGACGTTGACGGTGACGGTGTTCCCCGTCCAACTGACGCCGCCACGTCATCGTCCGGAATTTGTAACAGCGGCAACAATAACGGTGTCCGTCGCTCCGAATGAATGCCACTCCCTTGACGTTGACGTTGACGTTGACGGTGTTCCCCGTCCAATTGCATGATTGGTTTCTCGTCTGACGCATTATGATGCTCGGCCATTGCGCCGTCATGGGCTGGCTCCTCCTGAACGATAACTTCCGAATCGGGTTTTGAGAAGTCTCAAAACCCGACAGCCGAGTCGGCTCTGGCCAGACCACTAAAATCCTGTCGAAAGAGTAAGCACGAGCGAGCGCGATGAGCGGCTACAAGTCAAATAGAAGAATTTATGGAGCGTTGCGTAGTATCTATCAACTAGACAGCTGGAACGGAGCATGAGAGGCCGCGGAAGATCGTGAAAGGTTTCTTAAATCTGAGAATGACTGTTCTTCTGAGTAGTAACTTGTTGAAATGCAAATCTAGCCAGCTACTCGATTCCGGATTCCAGTCGTCGTGTCCAACTGGTAAAACGAACGACGATTACTCCTGCCAGGTGAAAGATGTCCTTGCAGAATCTAACAGTTCTCAACTTGAGCCAGAACATTCACACATATGGGAACTTGGGAAGCCCGAGAGGAGGAGACGAGTGGTGGGGAAAGAGCACTGACCGCTGGAGTTGTCGTCGTGGCCTGTGCGTGCCGAGGAGGAGTGAAAAGAGCACTGACCGCTGTTGGATTGACCACCAACCAAAAAGGGCCGCGTAGCGGCAGGCACTCTTCCCTCAAAGCGGAATGTTGAGTAAAGGGATTTTTTTGCCCCCCATTTTCGAGTGGAGCCGAGGACGTTCATCGAAAGCACGAGCGGAGGGGAAAGCGACGGAGAGCCGTTCAAATGCAGCGGAGATGGGAGGACCACTGTTTGGAAAAGATGGATGACGACGAGATGCGAAAATGGACGAGAGAGGAAGCTGACTCGGAAGATTCCATATTTTTACTTGTATTACGATTTTTTTTCGTTTGTTACAGTACCAGTCGCGTGAGCTGTTCGCCAGCTTGTTTAAGATCGTGATTGTCCTTTCAGTTCGCCCACGAAACTGATAACGAACCTTGCTCTGTTCGTTCAAGCCGCTATTTCGTTTCAGACAGTATTAGGGCGTGTCTGAAGTGCAAACGTCGAGTTTCGTCAAATTTCGTCGACGAGACTCATCTGTGGGACCCACGCGTGTTGGTGTCTGAAGTGCAAACTGACATCCCTCGACGAAACTCGACGTTCGTGCACATGTCGAGGGATGTCGAACAGTGATACCGGGCAGCTGTTTGAGTCACTGTAGTCAGTGAGTGTTTCAAAAACAATTCTTCGACACGCCATGTCTGCATAGCTGTGGCAAACACACGTGAATAAGAACTAAGACGAGAGCGACACGTGCTAGAGAAATTTCGCTGGCAATGTGACAGTAGAATATCCGGTGTTACCAGCAACAATCTATGCTAAGCGAAATTCGCGAGATTGCAAACAATTGAGTTACATGAATGATTCTGTTAATTCCACGTCGAATTTTCATGGGCAACTTATAACAGTGTTCCTATGGCACGTGTGGGTTATTTTGTCGTGTGGGTGTCTGAAGTGAACACAGCTGAAAACGGATGTCGAGTTTCGTCAAGGAACGTCGACGAAAGTTTCGTCGGCAAACGTCGAAATTCACTTCAGACACGAAAATTGCGGACCTGAAATAGAAATCGGCCGTCGGTCACACGTAGTTCAGTTCAGTGCAAATTCACCGAATCTGTTGTGCGAGCCGAATATGGCTGGGAGGGAAATCGAGGGGCGAATCAGAGGAAAGACAAAATGCGGAAACAGATGAAACCACAAGGCAAAACAAGACAAGGGACATTCAAGCGCATCGAAAGCGCCAAGATTGAGGCAGCGGGCCATCAACCCACTCGTCGTTGGAGCAGGCAGGAATGAGCATCTAGATGGATTTGCGCTGGCATTTAAAAGGAATGTTATTGGTAGAAAGTCAGGAAAGTCCTCATGGTTATGATGACAATAAAAATATTTGATACTGTATACAATTGCCCGACCCACTGTGATTCTGTTGCTCTGTCCACAAAATGTTTCTGCTCAGGGCTCATTTGGTATTGTACAATAAAACATCGGGTATGGTGAAATCGTTCGGGAAAGTCAGGGTAGGTAACCAAGACGTTGAAACCAAGACGTTGGTAGCTCCCTAACATTGCAGAAGTGATAGCTATGGAACTGTGCGTGACGTGTTGAGTTACAGAGTCAGGCTGTCCCGCCAGTACATTACCAGGAAGTAAGGAAACAGGTCGGGAAGTAGGAGGCAGTGGCAGAGAAGGTTCCGTTATATGTACTCGTAATTGTTAGAAGTCAGTTGCAATTCGCTCAAATTAGTCAGGGACAAGCAAAGAGATCATATGAAGATCCCCAAATTGGCATGCAGATTCTTTTGCCTTTTAATTTTAAAGAAGAGCTATCCTGGTAACAGAGCCCCCAGGTTCTGCCCCCAAATCATGACAAGCGAACCAAGAGGGCTATTTCAGATTCGCAGTGTTGAAAGTGAGGAAGGTGGGAGACTCAGGTAGTGGTGGTTGCAGTCGTGATTGCAGGTGTTTGCACATAAAGCCGTGGCCCAACTATCAGCTTCAACTTCGAACTATTATAGCTTGGAACTTGGTTGTCCCAGGCAGTTCTGTGGCGAGAAGTTTGTCTTTTCCGAGATTCCATTTTTTTCATCCAATAAGGGTCTCGTTACGCACACTCCATGTTTGTCCTGCTACTGTTCCTAAGAAGTTGCACCCCGCCTTTAACATAGCAACCTCTCCCTACCCCCATTCAGCCACTTCAGCAGTCTGGGTAGCCCTGACAGCATTCCAGTCGCAAGAGTTGGACAAATTGAACAATGCAGTTGACATTCAATGAAGAAATGAACGGTGGACGACAAATACAAGTGTTCCGGGTTAGAGGCTCTCGCTAAAAGAGTCCCTTTTCCCCATTGAGTAGAGTTTTCCGATATCGCCTAGGATTGGCCCGACCCCTATAGTCCCTTTTTTGGCGGGAAAATTTGCAGCTTGACCGAATCATTGCACGAATCAGCTCCGCAGCCAATCAGAGGCTCCAGATCGAACCAGCCCAGCATTCAGGGAAAACGAGAAATAAGGGATCATCTATTCGATATTTAACTTTATAAATGTAAATAATTGTTTCTCTTGACCGTGATTACTTTTCAATCCTGTCGCGCGGTCTCCAGCATGCTCAACGAGGACATCTCATTTATCTCGCTTACAGGGTAAATTTGAAGTTTTTACCTTCTATTCGACTCCCAAACCATAATTGGTTTTTTTTTTTTCCCGTTAGTCATGCGGACATTGATCAGCGCGGGGAACCGTGCAACGAGAAGTTGAAGCAAGCGTGGTTCGAATCTACGTAAAAAACGAAATGCAAAAACTAGTAGCAAACAAACCACTCTTCATGCAATTTTCTTGAACGGGGTTTGAAGTTTTTCGCACATAGTCCGCGCTCGGCGTCTCATTCTGTCAGACTATAAACGAGAACATTTGTATGCGTGACGACCCCATCTACGTGGCAGGTTCAGGCCACCCTAATCACCCTTACGTGGCAGTCCTCTTATCGTTAGATCTCTCAATTTGCAGGATAAGAAAATGCTCCAAGCAAATTGCACGGCAACAAATTGCACGAAAGACGGGTGATTTGGTACAGCACCGAAAACAGAAGAATCAGTATCTGCCAGAACGAAAGTCCCAAAGATACTGAGGACTGTTCGAAAAAAAACGGAACTTTGGAATAACTCGAAATTATAAGCAGGACACTGTCCTGAGAATCCTAACCCATCCGCTCTAATACAAAACGTTACGCCCATTCAGAACTACACAGTACAATATGCAGACAAAGATGCAAACTGGAAGGGACTACAAAGGCATCGTATGGTACCACTACTAAGAACCCAAGACACTCTCGAGTACCACCATCCTTCAGACCCAAACTGGAACGCAGGTGATTGTACCCCCAAACATGATCACCAGCCCATCACCTATAAACCCATGGTTCAACTAGTATCCCTTGCAGCACAATGTAAACGCCGCTGCCCTATCCAATTGCAGAGCTCCCAACCGTGCCGTGCCTTACCCAGCAGAGCACACCACATACAAGCAGAATGTTGGGCTAACCCCGACACGGAACAAGCAGAACCGGGCTGCTGCGCTGCATCCCAGGTAACTTCGGAGTTCAGCTCAAAGCAACACAAACAGGGCACACATACAAGCAGACATGCTCCTTGACCCCCTATTTGAAACCCTAACACCTAGCGATTCTTTATCCAATAGGAGTGGAGTGCAGCCCAGATACGAAGCACTTCTTGAGATGTGTATCCATCTTTTGATCCAACCTGACAGTAGGCAAGCCTGTGCTTCCATCCCCACACTCATCCCCTCACCCATCCCCACACCCATACCTCTCACAAGCAGATTCGATGCAATTGTCGCCTCAAATCTGCCCCGACGATTACCATGCACAAATTTGTGAGACATCTCAAAGCGCTACACTACACAAGCAGATTCCGTACAGATGGATCCCCTCCCCTCCTTATCTATGCCCCGCCCTTTTCCCCTCACCACCACCCTTATGGCAGCAGCAGATTGGGATGGGATGAAAGCTCCTACATCCTCCTCCCTCCCCTCCTCCCCCCTTCTTGAAACTGCTTCTTACCTACTGAACAGCCCCCCCTCCCCTCACCACCACCCTTCCGGCAGCTGCGGATTGGGATGGGGTGGAAGCTCCTAAATGCTCCTCCCCACTCCACCTCCCCCTTCCCCGACCTCATCATATAAAGAAACCCCTCATCATCTCTATCGCTCTGTCCACCCTCCGCTCACCACGGCCCTTCCGGCAGCTGCGGATTGAGATGGGGTGGAAGCTCATACATGCTCCTCCCCTCTTCCCCTTCCTCCCCTCCCCCCCCCCCTTCCTCCCCCCCTTCCCTCCCCCCTCTTGCCTCCTCCCTCCGCTCGTGAAACTGGTTCCTCCCTACTGGAAGCCCACAGTCCTTGTGCTTTGGTTTCCGCAGACACCACAACTGCTGGCACTGCTGCTGTTGCCCATTTCGGCACCCCGAATTGCACGGCCACGCGTCGACACACACGCACAACCGCGCACACATGCGCACGCACACATACATAACACACATACACTCCAGCAGGACCACCACTAAACGCACCTTTGCGGCTCACGCCGAGAGTCACCACCTCCCTCCCACCAACAGCCTTCACTGACGTTTCCTGCTCTGGTCCCGCCTCACTCCTCCCGCCTTTTGAGGAATTCCTAAACGCACCACTGCGGCTCACACCGAGAGTCACTACCTCCCTCCCACCAGCAGCCCGCAGAGGAAAACTGCTGAACGCACGACAGCGACTCCCACCACCCACCAACAGCCTCCCACCAGCAGCCTGCACTGTGGTTTCCCGCTCTGGTCTCGCCTCACTCCTTTCGCCTTACTCCTCTCTCCTCCCCCACCAGCAAAAACACCCATAAACACACCCCTCAAAGAAAAAGTACCTACTGTATCTGATTTTATTTAATCAACAACGCAGCAGTTGCTGCCGCTTTCCTACCACCCCTGCCCTTCCCACCACTGCTGCCCTTCCCGCCACGTCCTGCCCTTGCCAGTACTGGTCCTTGTACAGGTCGAACATGATTACACTGCCAGCAATCCCAAGCTTCCTGACGCACTTGGAAGTTGCCTTCTGATGCACCTGAAGCACCTGAAGCTACCTGAGGCACCTGAAGCTACCTCCTGAGACACCTGAACCAGGCACCTGAAGCTACCTGAGGCCAGCACTCAGAGAGTCTGTCCCAGCAGCACCTGAAGCACCCTCGGCTGCTGCTACTGCTTCTGCTGTCGACCCTCCCCCAGTCCCACCCCCCCCCCGCCTGCTGCTGCTGCCCCCCCCACGGCTGTCCTCCACAGGAGCTTCTCTAGACCCCACTGTTGCCACCGCCTCAGATACCCCCTCTGCTGTCCGCGTGCACCCCCCTCCTCCGCCCCCTGCTCCTGCGCCTGCGGGTGATTTTTCTCGTTTACCTTGCTCCGCTGCGCCTGCAGCTCCCGCCATCCGTTCCTCTCCTTGTTTTTTCCTACTCGACCTCCCTCCGCCTTTGCTTGCAGTCCCATCACCCCCACTTCCACCCACTCCTCCCTTCACCACACCACCAGAACCACGATCAACAGCCAATTCAGCACCCGCAGCACCAGCACCAGCACCTGAGTCAGCACCAACGGCATCAGCAAAACCATCAGTGTCGCTCCCACCGCTCCCACCAACACCGCCAACACCAGCAGCAGCAGTACCAGCACCATCAGCAGAACCCCCACCACCAGCAACACCAGCAGCAGCACCAGAACCCCCACTACCCCCACTGCCATCCCCACCAGCAGCAACACGCATACTCCTAGGCTCAGGAACACCGGCCGCACCAGCAGCAGCACGAGCAGCACCAACACCACCAACAGCAGCAGAAGGAGCACCAGCAGCACCAGGAGCAGCATGCTCGTGGCAGTGGCGGCGCCAGAGAGATCGATAAGTGGCCTCCAAGTCTCGGGTGAAGGCAGGGCCGTCACAGAGGCGAGAAGAGAGCATGCGCGGACGCATGGAGGCTCGGAGCAACGCCAGTTGCGGTATGTCCGAGGCTAGCTGCGTTGCTATGGCCACGTACTCGTCCTCGTTTCGAGCCACCAGGTTCGGTAGGCCTGGAGGGAGGGGAAGGGGTGGGGAAGAGAGATACAGGGTTGGTTGGATATGTGTGAGATCGATAGGTTGGCTGTTACTGCATACTGGTCCTCATTCCGAGCCAGCAGGTTCGGTAGGCTTGGATGGCCATGGTGACACAACAGACGCCCATGAAGAGCCATTACCATTAGCACTTCACTCAACCGCACTCAACCCCCCCATATTCCCAACCAGCAAAGACACACTCACCCATGTTTGCGAACAATGACACGCCAACGTTTTTGGCATGTACTCGGCCGGCCATGGTGGCACACCCATGAAGAGCGACTCGCACACCACTCAACTCAACCACACTAACTCAACCGCACTCAACCCCCCCCCCCCCCAAGGGAATACTCACCCATATTCGTGAGCAGGGACACCCCAACGTTATTGGCATGCACTCGGCCAGCCATGGTGACACACGGCACACCCATGAAGAGCGATTCGCAGGTGGTGGTGGTGGTGCCAGCATAGGGGAACGACAAGGGAAGGAGAACCCACTCACCCATATTCGTGAGCAGCGACACACCAACGTTGTTCGCGTGCACTCTCCCGGCCATGGTAACGCAGGGCACACCCATGAAGAGAGACTCGCACGTGGTGGTGGTGCCGGCATAGGGGAACGAGTCGAGACTGATGTCCATCACGGCGTAGCTCTGCATGTGCTCGTGGTTCAGCAGCACGAGCGGCAGCAGGTCGACTCGCAGGGGGGAGATGCCGTGGGACTCGAGCTGCGCCATGAGCTGCTGGCTGATGGACGCGCATGTGAAAGGCTTACACTTGAGCATCAGGCGCGACCCGGGCACTGCGAGCAGGATTCGGGCCCACAGGCGCACCACTGCTGGTGTTATCTGTGGGAGTGGGAGGGAGGGGAAATGGGGGAAATGGGGGAAATGGGGGGACGCGCATGTGAATGGGGGGACGAGCATTAGAAAGGCTTGTGTTTTAGCATCAGGCGCGACCCGGGGACGGCGAGCAGTATGCGCGCCCATAGACGGACGACCGCAGGGGTGATCTGGGGGAGTGGGAGGAAGGGGCGGGGGGGAGTGGGTAGGAGGAGTGCAAGGAGTGGGAGGAGTATACAAGGATGGTCAAGAGGATCGGTCGCACAGTAGACTCATTTCGTGCGGTAAGCACACATAGAAACACATGCAGGCACACACATGAACATGGGGAGACACACACACAGAGACGCATGCACGCACGTCTACATGTGCACTGCACCGCATGGCACAGCATGGCACAGCGCTTTACCGCACTGCACAGGACAGTACCTTGGCAAGGTTGTTGAAGCTGCCAAATGTCACAAAGCCATTGGCCACCGCAGGCGACGGGGACACCGGCCCTGCTTCAGACGAAGGGGTGTAGCAGAGGAAGCATCCTGGAAGGCGCACTAACTCCTCTACATGCCTGTGAGAGGAAGGAAGGAGGCGAGTAGGGGGAGAAAAGGGAAAGGGAGGGAAAGAGAGGGGTGAGGAAGAGAATGTAAGTCACGGGGAGTACACTACATCCTTTTTACGAAGACAGCGTGTGGCAAATAAGCATTTCAGAAGGCGATTTTTGAGTCGACTCAAAAATCCGTGTGTGATGAGGCGATTTTTGAGTCGACTAAAAAATCGCATTTCAGAAGGCGCAACAAACAACTGCTGCACAGTCTGCTCTGCTGGCAACACGCAAAGGCCGGCTGGGGGTGGAGGTGGTAGGGGGTGAATGTGAATTTGAATGTCCATCCGTCCGGCTTTCCACAACCTACCCCTGCACGCTGCTGAGGGGGTAGGGTAGGAAGGTGGGGAAATTCCTACATGTTCATACGTGTGCGTACCTCTGGCAGAACATATGAACATGTGGGGTCACTTCCATGTGGGGACACTTCCATGTGGGGACACTTCCATGTGGGGACACTTCCATGTGGGGACACTTCCTCCCACTGCCGAAGATTACACCACTTACCTCTGGAAGCTGGTAGGAGGATCAGCAAGGGCATCAGTCGGCCGGTAATCAATCGCCCTCAGCCCGGTGGTATTGGGGTACCCAATCCAGGTCGCCTGGATGGGCGCAGCCTTGCATGCCATCACGCCCAACCGGTTGTTGGCCGTGTGCCCTGTCAGCTTCACCAGTACGTCTACCCCCCTCCGTCCTCCCACGCCTAAACCTACCTACTGGGTGCTGCTGGGAGAGAGGGAACTGGAGCCCCAAGACCCCTACCTTTGGCTGCTGCTGGGAGGGTCAGCCAGGGCGTCAGTCAGCCGGTAGTCAATAGCCCTCAGCCCGGTGGTATTGGGGTACCCAATCCAGGTCGCCTGGATGGGCGCAGCCTTGCATGCCATCACGCCCAGCCGGTTGTTGGCCGTGTGCCCTGTCAGCTCCACGAGTATGTCTACGCCGTCCTCCCGCACCATGGCTGCCACACGCCGCTCGTCCACCCCGAATATGTCCCGCCACACTCCGCCTTTGCTCTGCACTGCCTCTTTGAACCGACTTGTTTTGCCGTCCGCCTGACAGGAAGGGAAGGGAAGGGGGAAAGAGGGTTTTGCCGTCCGCCAAATGTGTCCTGCCACACTCCACCCTTGCTCTGCACCGCCTCCTTGAACCGACTCGTCTTGCCGTCCGCCTGACCAAGGGGTGGGAGGGAGGAGGGGGGGAGCGGGGGAGGGGGGGAAGGTGGGGAGAAGGGAGGGGAGAGGGACGGAAGGGGTTGGGAGAGATGGAAAGAGGAATTAGAAATGAGGAAAGGAGAGGAGAAACGAGGAAGGCGCAGTGAGGGCTGTGGTAAAGCGCAGTGAGGCGCAGAGAGGAGCCCCAATGACGTGGGAGACGGAGTGGGTGAAGTAGTCGGGTGATATGTACCCCACCGCCAGCCTCGAAACCTGTTAACCCACTTGACTCACCTTGACCCGAGTTGACTCACGTTGACCCGAGTTGACTCACCTTGACCCGAGTTGACTCACGTTGACCACGGCCGAGTAAACGACCACCTTGACCACGTTGGGGTCGTGGTAGGTCAAGGGAGCTTCAATGAAGTAGGAGACGGAGTGTGTGAAGTAGTCGGGCGATAAAGTACCCCACCACCAGCCCCTGCTCCATTTATCCCATTGACCCTTGACCCCCATTGACCCCCATTGACTCACCTTGACCACGGCCGAATACACCACCACCTTGACCACATTCGGGTCATGGTATGTTAGGGGCGCCTCAATGAAGTAGGAGACGGAGTGAGTGAAGTAGTCGGGGGAAATGTACCCCACCACCAGCCGCCGGTCCGGCCGGCACGAGTTGGGCCACGAGGAAAATCGGGGAAAGAGGCGTGAGAAGCGCTCACCCCAGTCCCTGGGTTGAGAGAGTGGGGGGAAAAACGAGAGTGGGGGGAAGAAGGGGGGGGAGGTGGGGAGGGGGTATAATAGAGGTTAAGGCTCGCCCGGCATGAGTTGGGCCACGAGGAGAAGCGGGGGAAGGAGTGAGAAAAGCGTTCGGCCCAGTCCCTAGGATGAGACACAAGATAGGAAAAGTGGGGAAAGGGAGGGTACGACTCGCCCGGCACGAGTTGGGCCACGAGGAGAAGCGGGGAAAGAGGCGTGAGAAGAACTCGCCCCAGTCCCTGGGATGACCGCGCTTGGGGAGGAGGTGGGGGGTCGGGGGTGGGCGGGGGGAGGAAAGGGATGGGCTCAAGGTGGGGAAAAGTAAGGGTTTGGGTGGGGCATGAAAGAGGTGTGAAGAGAGCCCATCCCAGTGGGTGGGGGACGAAGCGGAGGATGGGGGGAAAGGAGGATGGGAGGAAGGTAGGATGGGAGGAAGGTAGGATGGGAGGAAGGTAGGATGGGAGGAAGGTAGGATGGGAGGAAGGTAGGATGGGATCACACACGAAGAAAACGGTGAAGAGAGCACTAAGCCATGAGCAATCCGTTTCCCCCTCCCTCCTCTCCCCCTCCCTCCTCTCCCCTCCCTCCTCCCCCCTCCCTCCTCTCCCCCTCCCCCCTCTCCCCGTCCCTCCTCTCCCCCTTCCTCCCTCCTTCCCTCCATCGACCTCTCGACTGTCGACCTCTCAACCGCTAACAACCGCTCCTTACCGGTGAGCAGCGAATAGTGAGTCATCCAGCCCATCGTGAATATAGTTCATTGCTAGTAGACGGTTCTGATGCAGGAGGAAGGGAGGGGGAGGGGGAGCAAAAGGAAAAGGGTAGGGGGGGGAGAGGGGGAGCAAAAGGAAAAGGGTAAGTGGGGTGAGGGGGGGATGAATGGCGACAACAGCAACACAGGGGAGGAAACAGTGGGTCATCCAGCCCATCGTGAATATAGCTCATTGCTAGTAGACGGTTCTAATGTGGGAGGATGGGAGGGGGAGCAAAAGGAGAAGGGTAAGGGGGGGGGGGGGAGGGGGATGAATGGCGACAACAGCAACACAGGGCGGGGAGGAAACTGTGAGTCATCCAGCCCATCGTGAATATAGCTCATTGCTAGTAGACGGTTCTGATGAGGGAAAGAAAGAGAGGGAGAAGGGAGAGGGAGGAGTGGGGACAGCAGCAACAAAGGGAAGCAGAAGAAATCTAGATAAGGGTGAAGGGTACAAACGGCAGCAGCAACAAAGACAAGGGCTCCAGAAACGGCAGGCAGTGCAGCAATGCTAAGCGAGCAGAAGGCCTGACACACATAAGTTGGTAATTGTGAGTTTGCGTGTAGTGAGTCGACTTTTGAGTCGACTTTTGAGTCATTGTGATAAAAATCGACTCACACATAAGTTGGCACTACACGTTGGTAATTGTGAGTTTTTTCCACAGAAATCGAAAATATATCTCACCTGGCCGGCATTTCTAGAGTCGGGGTCGATCGTAAGGCACTGCTGGTACGCCTCGATGGCTGCAACAAAGGAGGAGCACAGAAGCACCTTCTTCTGGGCAGCACAGCACAGCTAAGTGAGCAGGGCCCCGGCAGATACACCTAGTCGCTCACCTGGCCGGCATTCCTGGAGTCAGGGTCGATCGTAAGGCACTGCTGGTACGCCTCGATGGCTGCTGGGATGTTGCCCGCATCCCTGTGCAGTACGCCTGAGTTGGGGTGAGGGGAGGAACGAGTGTGTGGTGAGGGGGGAGATGAGGGGGTGAGGTGATATGACATGGTGAGGCACTGCTGGTATGCCTCGATGGCTGCTGGGATGTTGCCCGCATCCTTGTGCAGTACGCCTGGATTAGGGTGAGGGGAGGAACGAGTGTGTGGTGAGGGGGGAGATGAGGGGGTGAGGCGATATGACATGGTGAGGCACTGCTGGTATGCCTCGATGGCTGCTGGGATGTTGCCCGCATCCCTGTGCAGTACGCCTGGATTAGGGTGAGGGGAGGAACGAGTGTGTGGTGAGGGGGGAGATGAGGGGGTGAGGCGATATGACATGGTGAGGCACTGCTGGTATGCCTCGATGGCTGCTGGGATGTTGCCCGCATCCCTGTGCAGTACGCCTGGATTAGGGTGAGGGGAGGAACGAGTGTGTGGTGAGGGGGGAGATGAGGGGGTGAGGCGATATGACATGGTGAGGCACTGCTGGTATGCCTCGATGGCTGCTGGGATGTTGCCCGCATCCCTGTGCAGTACGCCTGGATTAGGGTGAGGGGAGGAACGAGTGTGTGGTGAGGGGGGAGATGAGGGGGTGAGGCGATATGACATGGTGAGGCACTGCTGGTATGCCTCTATGGCTGCTGGGATGTTGCCCGCATCCCTGTGCAGTACGCCTGAGTTGGGGTGAGGGGAGGAACGAGTGTGTGGTGAGGGGGGAGATGAGGGGGTGAGGCGATATGACATGGTGAGGCACTGCTGGTATGCCTCTATGGCTGCTGGGATGTTGCCCGCATCCCTGTGCAGTACGCCTGAGTTGGGGTGAGGGGAGGAACGAGTGTGTGGTGAGGGGGGAGATGAGGGGGTGAGGCGATATGACATGGTGAGGCACTGCTGGTATGCCTCTATGGCTGCTGGGATGTTGCCCGCATCCCTGTGCAGTACGCCTGAGTTGGGGTGAGGGGAGGAACGAGTGTGTGGTGAGGGGGGAGATGAGGGGGTGAGGCGATATGACATGGTGAGGCACTGCTGGTATGCCTCTATGGCTGCTGGGATGTTGCCCGCATCCCTGTGCAGTACGCCTGAGTTGGGGTGAGGGGAGGAACGAGTGTGTGGTGAGGGGGGAGATGAGGGGGTGAGGCGATATGACATGGTGAGGCACTGCTGGTATGCCTCTATGGCTGCTGGGATGTTGCCCGCATACCTGTGCAGTACGCCTGAGTTGGGGTGAGGGGAGGAACGAGTGTGTGGTGAGGGGGGAGATGAGGGGGTGAGGCGATATGACATGGTGAGGCACTGCTGGTATGCCTCTATGGCTGCTGGGATGTTGCCCGCATCCCTGTGCAGTACGCCTGAGTTGGGGTGAGGGGAGGAACGAGTGTGTGGTGAGGGGGGAGATGAGGGGGTGAGGCGATATGACATGGTGAGGCACTGCTGGTATGCCTCTATGGCTGCTGGGATGTTGCCCGCATCCCTGTGCAGTACGCCTGAGTTGGGGTGGGGGGGGAAGGAGTGTGTGGGCGGAGGGAAGATGAGGGGGAGAGGGGGGGTGAGTTGGCAAGGCAATGCCTCTATAGCTGCTGGTATGCCTCTATAGCTGCTGGTATGCCTCTATAGCTGCTGGTATGCCTCTATAGCTGCTGGAATGTTGCCCGCATCCCTGTGCAACACACCTGCGTGGACTGCGGGGGACGACCACAACACAAACAACACACATGAATCACCAGAAATCACTTTTGAGGCGCCTCAAAAGTCACACATGAATCACCAGAAATCCTGCAGATTTTTAACTCTAGAAAAACATCTTGCTTGGAAATATGACAGAGAATTCGCGTCTAAACAATGACTCACAGGGCTCCGAGCAGGATGGCTTTAAATAATCTCTGCACTGCACTCTCCCCACACGCGCCCGACACCTGTTAGCCGCCTAAATTAACCCCACACCCTCTCGCCCCCCTTCCTTTCGAACCCTCCCTCTTTCCCTCTCCCCCGCTCACCCAGGTTGTTTATGCATCCGCATAGGGATGAGCAAGGGGCGAACACGAACATGTTCGTGTTCGCCCCTAGACGAACACATCCGTTTGCCGAACCGAACACTGTTCGGTTCGGCGAACACTTTAAGCAAAAACACGTGTTCGCCGTTCGCCTGTGAAGGCATGTTCGGCCGAACATCGAACACGTTCGTGTTCGTCGCGGGGCAAATTGCAGCAGCGGCCCGAACACGAACGTGTTCGGGCGAACATCGAACACTGTTCGGCGAACAATTTAAGCAAAAAAAACAAACCTGTTCGGTTCGCCTCGAACACGTTCGAGGCGAACCGAACAGGTGTTCGCCCTTGTGCTCATGTCTACATCCGCATAGGCAGTGTTGGCGCGAATGGCGGCTACCCCCATCCCGACCCCACCCCACTCCCGCCCCCCTCCCCATCCTCCTTGGTCAATCCTGCCCTGTCACCCCCATTCCCTTTCATCCACCTTCCTCCCCCCCCCCCTCACCCAGGTTGTTATACGCCCCCGCATAGGCCCAATTGGCAAGAGTGGCCGATACCCCCTTCCCCTCCCCCACTGTTCCTTTTCATTCCCCCCCTCCTTTCTTTCACCCTCCTCCACCCCCCCTGCTCACCCAAATTGTTGTACGCCCCTGCATACGCGGGATTGGCAAGCATGTCGGCTAACCCCCCCCCCTCTGCCCTTGTTTCCTTCCGTCCTCCCATCCCCCCTCCCATCCATCCGCCACCCCTTCTCTCACCCAAATTGTTGTACGCCTCTGCAGAGGCCGGGTTGGCGAGGATGGCAAATATTTCCTTCCCCCCGTCTCTCCCCCTTCTCCCTTTTGGCCTCCCACCCCCCCCCTCCCCCTCTCCCTCTCACCCACCACCCCCCCTCACCCAGGTTGTTGTATGCCTCAGCATATGCGGGGTTGGCGAGTATGGCAGCTTGAATCATGTTGAGGGCTAGATCCATCTTGCCCTGATGGGGGAAGAAGAAGAGGCGGAGGGGGGAAGAAGGGAAGGGAAGGGAAGGGAAGGGAGGGCGGGAAGGTGTGAATAATAGTGGCAGCTTGAATCATGTTGAGTGCTAGATCCATCTTGCCCTGATGGGGGAAGAAGAAGAGGCGGAGGGGGGAAGAAGGGAAGGGAAGGGAAGGGAGGGCGGGAAGGTGTGAATAATAGTGGCAGCTTGAATCATGTTGAGTGCTAGATCCATCTTGCCCTGATGGGGGAAGAAGAAGAGGCGGAGGGGGGAAGAAGGGAAGGGAAGGGAAGGGAGGGCGGGAAGGTGTGAATAATAGTGGCAGCTTGAATCATGTTGAGTGCTAGATCCATCTTGCCCTGCGAGGGGGGGGGAGAAAGAGGGGAAGGGAAGGGGTGGAGTGAGTCCCGTCCCCAAGGTGAGTCCCCAGTCGTACGAGGAGTGCAGCAAGTAGTTTAATGGGCAAGGAGAAAGGGGCTCGTGATGTTGCTGCAAAGGCAGCTGCTTGTGGTGCAGGCAGATCGGCAAACCCAACCCTTTGAAGCGCAAGGAGTAGTAACCTGGAGAGTCAAGAGTTTAAGATGCTAATCAATGCTTTGATCTGAATGTTGCGTAGTTTGGATTGGAAGTGCAGGCAGAAAATTAAATCCAAAGTACGCAAAATTCAGATCAGAGAACTGATTATCATCTTAAACTCTTAATTCTCCAGGTTACTACTCCTTGCGCTTCAAAGGGTTGGGTTTGCCGATCTGCCTGCACTTTCGAGCCACACAAGCCACCCACCAGCAACCTCACCTCCACGGTGTAAACCACCCCCAGGTTGTTGAGCGACTGGGAGAAGCTGGGCTTGATGCGCAGCGCTTTCTCCAGGTTGCTTGCTGCAATCAGCCATGCACCAGCACACACCTGCACCGCACCCCATCCACCCACACACACACCTGCACCGTACCCCATCCACCCACCCACACACCTGCACCGCACCCCATCCACCCACCCACACACCTGCACCGTACCCCACCCACCCACACACCTGCACCGTACCCCATCCACCCACCCACACACCCGCACCGTACCCCATCCACCCACACACCTGCACCGTACCCCATCCACCCACACACCTGCACCGTACTCCATCCACCCACACACCTGCACCGTACCCCACCCACCCACACACACACCTGCACCGTACCCCATCCACCCACCCACACACCTGCACACCAACCCACCTGCACGGTGTACACGACCCCCAGGTTGTTGAGCGACTGGGAGAAGCTGGGCTTGATGCGCAGCGCTTTCTGGTAGCACTCCACAGCCTTGTCCAGGTTGTCTCTGTCCTTGTATATCACCCCCAGGTTGTTGCATGCTTCGGCGCATTGCGGGTTGAAATGCAGGGCCAGCTCGTACATCACCACTGCCTGGAAACGAGGAGAGTGTGCAAGAGGGGGGGTGCAACAGTGGAAGGGAAACCAGGAGGGGAGGGGTGGTGGGCGGTGATCAAGGGCAGAACGGGGAAGCAGGGGGAAGGGCGGAGGAGGGAGGGGGGGAAGCGGGATGGGCATTGCCTTCTGGTAGCCCAGGTTGTTGTACACGCGTGACAAGCATCCCATGTCAATCTGAGATGTGCAGCAGTCATCACATCACATCACGCGCCTCGCTCACCATGTCACACTTGATTGAGCATCTCGCCATAATGCCACCTCCACCTCCAACGTGTACAGGTTATGTGATGCACACATGTGTGGACATGCATATCATCATATGAGTGCAATGTGCATGTGGTCTCACTCACTCACTCACTCACTCACTCACTCACCACGTTGAACCTGAGCATCTCGCCATACGCCGCAGTGTGCATTCAAGTGACGAGTCGAACAGCAGGGGTCGCTTGTAGTGCAACCAGGTTGTACATACATGGCATGCGTGCGGTACATACATGGCATGCGGTACATACATGGCATGCGGTACATACATGGCATGCGGTACATACATGGCATGCGATGCACACGTGTGTGCACATGCGTACATACGTGCATGCATGTGCATGTGGTCTCGCTCAGTCACCATGTCAAACTTGAGCATCTCGCCATAGGCCACCCCCAGGTTGTACATGGGTATGTGATGCACACATGGGTGCAGTGCACTGTATATGCATGCGCTCTCACCATGTCAAACTTGAGCATCTCGCCATAGGCCACCCCCAGGTTGTACATGGCATCGGCATAATGCGAGTTGAACAGCAGCGCTCGCTTGTAGTGCGCCACTCCTGCTGATATGTCGCCCTCCAGCTTCACCTGTAGGAAGAAAAGGGAGTAGGGGAGAGAGGGGATTTTGAGGGGAAGTGTGTGAACGAGATACCATGTTTGTAATGATGCTGCTACACCTGTCCACCTGTCCACCTGTCCACCTGTCCACCTATCCACCTGTCCACCTGTCAATGTCCACCTTCCCTCCCAGGTCGGTGAGTGCGATGGAAAGGTTGCTCCCTGTGGCTGTTCCTACCACTTGATCTTCCCTCCCTATTCCCTCCCTCCACTCCCCTTCCCCCGTCCCGCCCCCCGCTCAATCCTGCCCGCCTCACCTTGGTGCCCAGGTCAGTGAGAGCGATGGCCATGTTGTTGCGTGCAATGGTGAAGTTGGGCGCTACAGCCAGACACCTGGTGGTGAGGAAACAGGGGGGAAGGGGGGAGGGAAGAAGGGGAATGCAGAGAAGAAGGGGAATGCAGAGAAGAAGGGGAATGCAGAGAAGAAGGGGAATGCAGAGAAGAAGGGGAATGCAGAGAAGAAGGGGAATGCAGAGAAGAAGGGGAATGCAGAGAAGAAGGGGAATGCAGAGAAGAAGGGGAATGCAGAGAAGAAGGGGAATGCAGAGAAGAAGGGGAATGCAGAGAAGAAGGGGAATGCAGAGAAGAAGGGGAATGCAGAGAAGAAGGGGAATGCAGAGAAGAAGGGGAATGAGAAAAGAGCACCAGGGAGGCAGCTCCTGCCCTAATGGAGGTGGATGGGAGAATGCAGGGGGTGAGGGGAACGTGGGGGGGTGAGGGGAACGTGGGGGGGTGAGGGGAACGTGGGGGGGTGAGGTGAGGGGAACGTGGGGGGGTGAGGGGAACGTGGGGGGGTGAACGGAACGTGGGGGGGTGAGGTGAGGGGAACGTGGGGGGGTGAGGGGAACGTGGGGGGGTGAGGGGAACGTGGGGGGGTGAACGGAACGTGGGGGGGTGAGGTGAGGGGAACGTGGGGGGGTGAGGGGAACGTGGGGGGGTGAGGGGAACGTGGGGGGGTGAACAGAACGTGGGGGGGTGAGGTGAGGGGAACGTGGGGGGGTGAGGGGAACGTGGGGGGGTGAACGGAACGTGGGGGGGTGAGGTGAGGGGAACGTGGGGGGGTGAGGGGAACGTGGGGGGGTGAACGGAACGTGGGGGGGTGAGGTGAGGGGAACGTGGGGGGGTGAGGGGAACGTGGGGTGGTGAACGGAACGTGGGGGGGTGAACGGAACGTGGGGGGGTGAACGGAACGTGGGGGGGTGAACGGAACGTGAGGTTGAGGGGAGTGGAATTCACCGTTCCACGTAATATCCCACCCACTCACCGCTCATAGCAAGCAATAGCCGAATGGAGGTCGCCGTCGTTCTTGAAAATGACGCCCATGTTGCAATGCAATGTGCCTCGGCATAGAGCGAGCGGCCTGAGCTGAGCACCACGGCCTTGCACACACACCCCTGTTTTGAGTCGACTCAAAACAAGCCTTCCACACACACCCCTGCCACCCACAAACACTGGCAACCACTACCCAGCCACAAACCCAGGCACCCACCGCTCATAGCAAGCAATAGCGGAGTGTAGATTGCCGCAGTTCTTGAAAATGACGCCCATGTTGCAATGCAATGTGCCTCGGCATAGAGCGAGCGGCCTGAGCTGAGCACCACGGCCTTGCACACACACCCCTGTTTTGAGTCGACTCAAAACAAGCCTTCCACACACACCCCTGCCACCCACAAACACTGGCAACCACTACCCAGCCACAAACCCAGGCACCCACCGCTCATAGCAAGCAATAGCGGAGTGTAGATTGCCGCAGTTCTTGTAAATGACGCCCATGTTGCAATGCAATGTGCCTCGGCATAGAGCGGCCTGAGTGCCTCAATTGCACACACACCCTTGCTACCCACAAATACAGGCACCCACCGCTCATAGCATGCAATAGCCGAGTGTAAATCCCCGCAATTCTTGTAGATCACCCCCATGTTGCAATGCGCCTCCGCATACAGCGGCCTGAGCGCCACGGCCTTGTCATAGAACTGGAGAGCCGCCTTGTACTGCCCCATCTCCGAATACACCACTCCTAGGTTGTAGTATGCCGGCTGGGGATAAGGGAGGGATGGGGCAGGTGTGGGGAACAAGAGGCGTGAGAGGCAGGGGCGTGGTTAAGGGGCGGCCTGAGCGCCACTGCCTTGTCGTAGAACTGCAGAGCTGCCTCGCACTGCCCCGTCTCCGAATACACCACTCCTAGGTTGTAGTATGCCGGCTGGATGGTTGGGGGGGGGGGGGGGAGAGGGGTTGAGGGAGAGGGGTTGGGGAACAAGGGTGGGCGAAGGGGGTACACCTCGGCTCCACATAGAGCGGCCTGAGCGCCACTGCCTTGTGGTAGAACTGCAAGGCTGCCTCGTACTGCCCCATCTCCGAATACCCCACCCCTAGGTTGTAGTATGCCGGCTGGGGAGAGCAGTGTGGAACGGGCGGGGATGGGGCAGGCGTGGGGAGCAGGCATGAGGGGTAGGGTTGGGGGGAACCTGAGCGCCACTGCCTTGTTGTAGAACTGCAAGGCTGCCTCGTACTGCCCCATCTCCGAATACCCCACCCCTAGGTTGTAGTATGCCGGCTGGGGTTGGGGGGATAGGGGTCAAGGACAGGGGACAAGGGATTGGGGGACAGGCGGGACGGCGGGGGCAGGGCACCCGTGGGCATAGAGCGGCCTGAGGGCCACTGCCTTGTCGTAGAACTGAAGCGCCGCCTCGTACAGCCCCATCTCCGAATACACCACCCCTAGGTTGTAGTATGCCGGCTGGAATGGAGGGATGGGGCAGGTGTGGGGAACAACGGGCGTGAGAGGCAGGGGATGAGGGGCAGGGGATGAGGGGCAGGGGATGAGGGGGAGTGGGGGGGAGGGGAGGTGGGGCCTGAGCGCCACTGCCTTGTCATAGAACTGAAGGGCTGCCTCGTACTGCCCCATCTCCGAATACACCACTCCCAGGTTGTAGTATGCCGGCTGGGGACAGGGTGGGGAGAGGGACACGTGTGGGCGACAGGGTTGGGGCAGGCGTGGGCAACAGGCATGAGGGGCAGAGGTGGGGGGGAGGGGCATGAGGGGCAGAGGTGGGGGGGGGGGGCATGAGGGGCACTGCCTTGTCATAGAACTGCAGCGCTGCCTCGTACTGCCCCGTCTCCAAATATATCACCCCTATATTGTATTATGCCGGCTGGGGGGGACAGGAATGGAGACGGGCATGTGCGGGGACAGGGGTAGGGAGGGTGGACATGTGCGGGATGGGGGAACACATCACTGTGCTGTGAACACATGCTCGCCTCACACTGCCCCATCTCCAGAAAAAAATAGCAGAAGCAGCACTATCCGTGCAAACATTGAGCTGTGTTGTTGTGCAGCACAAGCGATGACTTTTGAGATGTCTCAAGAACTGCTTGTAAAAAGATTGCCTGCTGGGCAGTACTGTGCCGTGCAGCACAACAAGAGTGTGCTGCACTGCACTGCACTGCCTGCCTGCCTGCTGCTACTCCTGTTTTGAGTCGACTCAAAACATGACTCAAAGCCGTGCAGCACAACAAGAGTGTGCGGCACTGCACTGTACTGCACTGCCTGCTGCTACTGCATACAACCGCACTGAACCAAGTCTCACCGCATATCTCTGGTCGGCAGCAATAGCCTCGTAATATTTCGCTATGCCCTCCTGCACGGACCCCCCCAGCTTAAGGCGCGTGCCCAGGTCTGTGAGCACCACTGCCAGCTGCTCCTGTGCCTCCTTTCCTTACCATCGTTTCCCACCGCATACCACCGCACTGAACCACATACCACCGCACTGAACCGCATCTTACCGCGTATCTCTGGTCGGCAGCAATAGCCTCATAATATTTCGCTATGCCCTCCTGCACCGACCCCCCCAGCTTAAGGCGCGTGCCCAGGTCTGTGAGCACCACTGCCAGCTGCTCCTGTGCCTCCTTGCACCCCGGATCCGCCTCTAGCGCCTTCCTGTAAGCCTGGGGGAGATGGGGGGAGGGGGGAGAGGGATGGGGTGACGGGGACGAGTAAGGGGGACGTGCCCCCAGGTCGGTCTGTGAGCACCACCGCCAGCTGCTCCTGTGCCTCCTTGCACCCCGGATCCGCCTCCAACGCCTTTTTATAAGCCTGGGGGGGATAGTTGGAGGTGGGGAAGAGGGGGGGGCGGGAAGTTAGGAGGAGGAGAAGGGGGGTTGAAACGAGGGGGGTTGTGGGGTGGTGGGAGAGGAAGGAACAGTGGGTGGGTGGGAGCATCACAAGCAGGCCGGATCGCTTGCAGCTTGAGGCGCGTGCCCAGGTCTGTGAGCACCACGGCCGCCCTCGTTCCCACCTCTCCCCCATTCTCTACTCTTCCCCTCCTCTCCCCTTCCTCCTCTTCCTCCTCTCCCCCTCCTCACACCCTCCTCTCCCCCTCCTCTCCCTTTCCACCTCTCCCTCCCCCCCTCCTCTCCCCTTCCTTTCTCTCCCCACGACTCTTTCCTCCCCCCCCCCTCACTCCCCTCTCCCTCCTCACCCACTCACCTAAATCACCTCTCCACCCCTTCCCCTCCTCTCCCCCTCCTCTCTCCTCCTCTCCCCCTCCTCTCCCCTCCTCTCCCCTCCTCTCCCTCCCCTCCTCTCCTCCCTCCTCTTCCTCCTCACCCACTCAACTCAATCCCCTCACCACTCTCCCTCACATCTCCCCACTCACCTTGATCACCTCGTCCCCTCCTCCCGCTCCCCTCGATTACAACCCCACTTCTCTCCCCTCACCTCGCCCCGCTCCTCTTTCCCCTCCTCACCCTCCGTCGTCCCACGCACCTCTATCAACTCTCACAACTGCCCCTCCCCCTCCCCCCACGCACCTCTATCACCTCTCCACTCCCCTCCCCATCTCCCCACTCACCTCAACCAACACCTCAACTCCTCTCCCCTCACCTCTCCCCGCTCCTCTTTCCCCTCCTCCTCCCCCCACGCACCTCTATAGCCTCTAGCAAGTCCCACTTCCCCCCCCCCCCCACGCACCTCGATCGCCTCTAACAAGTGTCCCTCCTCTTTGTACAGCACTCCGCACTGCGTCAGCGCTACAGCGTGTGTCGGATTCAGCTGTAACGCGGACACGTACGCCTCAAACGCCGCGCTAAGCTTCCCCTGCGCTTGCAAACACTGCCCCTTCCCCACCAGCGCCTCCGCAGTCGCGGCGGCCGCGGCCCCGCCTGCCCCTACCCCTCCCGCTCCCCCTCCCCCTTCCCCCGCGCTTGCGCCCCCTCCTAATGTCCCCGCTCCGCTACCCGCTACATTTCCCCTCGTCATAGTCACAGCTGCTCCTATTCTCTCCGCTATAATCGCCTCGTATATCGCGAGCGCTTCGTTAACTTTCCCCCGAGACCTCAACATAGCCGCATACCCTAACGGATCCTTCACGGCACTAAGCCGTCCGGCCGCGGCGGCTGCGGCTGCGGCGGCGGCGGCGGCGGACGCGGCGGTGGCGGGACCGGGTATGGCCGCAGAAGGGATTAAACCGCCCACGCCGTTACCGGCGGCGGCGGAAACGGCTCCTGCGACTGGGAGCGACGCGGAAACTGGTTGCGGGTATGTCGCTGCTGCAGCGGCGGCGGCGGCAGCAGCAGGGTCGAAGTGAGACGAGACAAAACCGTTGCTCGGGAAACCGGGGTGTGTGGGCATGACAGGGGCTTGCATGGGAATTAAAGCCTGTCCAGATGCGGTCGATGCGCTAGAGCCTCCTAACGACGCAAATAGTGGGTTACCTAACACGCTATGGTTCAGCCCTTGCGCGCCGCCGCTGATGTGGAGGTTGCTTATTGGATGATGAGCACCGGGGGGAAGAAACGGAATCAACGCCGCGGCGTTACCAGCGTAAGGGGACGGGAACGGCAAGTGGTCGTGCGATAGAGAGATGGACGGTTGAGATGCGCCGACTGGCGAGATTCCAGGGATTCCGGCGATTGACTTTAACGAGGCGAGCAGGTGATTGTGCTGCACGGACGCTGCAGCAGGTGATAATAACGCGGGGTGACTATGAAGAGAACCTGCTGAAGGGAGCAACATCCATCCCCCAGCCGCCGCCGCCGCCGCAGCGGCAGCAGCCGCAGCAGCAGCCGCCGCAGCCGCTGCTTGACTCCCCTCGTGCTGCTCCAGAGCGGCTGCTTCCGCACCCAAACCTCCGTTTCCTACACCAGAAATTGCGCCGGGAATCGCGGCGCGAACCGCGGCACCTCGAGACGAAGCAGCTGCAACGCAGCCACTCCCGCCGCCGCCGCCGCCAACGTGCGGATCAGCAAGCGGCAAGCCCGGACTCATGATCCGGGAAACACGCCAGCTTGTCCGTCAGATTGGTCGCGATCGATTTAAGCTTCGCATGGCTAGAACGACGTGGCAGCTCCTGAGAGAAACGAAAGGCGGCTGTCGAGGTAAGTAACTGCTTCGCAAATCTACACACGAACTGGAAGGTACGCTGGCGTGAAGAATCAGAAACGACTATGTTCCGGCGAATATGTTGCGACTGACTGTTTCTCTAGGGGGAACACACACTCAAGCTAGACTCAACCCTAGAGTCCGAGGGGAAGGAGTGCGATGAGTTGTAGGGAGCTCCTTTGATCACCCATTGTCGGAGAACGAAGCAGTCTGAAAGGGTTCGACGGCTAAGCTGTCCAACGGTAATGTTCTCAGAGAACAAATTCACTCGGGAAAAGAAAGGGGGGGAATCGCGACGGCCTGAACACTAAGAAGTAACGAGATACTTTCGATTGAGTTCGCAATTATTGTAATAAGACACTAAAACGGGGATGGCTCGAATACGGCAACTTACTAATCAGAAGCGGCAAGGAGGGAAGCTGAAAACCGATCACTCAAATATAGGCTACTGGAACACGCTCTGCTCGAGTGAAAGAGTGAGGTCGCGTGAGGTGTCTCGTGCTGCGCTGAAAAAACGGCATAAGCAGACAGAAGCGGGGACCGCACAGGGAGGATGCTGAAGCTGGCACAGATGTAAGCAAGTGGCAGGGGACAGACGGGGGAAGGGCGGCCATGGAAGTGGTGGAGAAGGTGGTGGTCGCGGGGGGAAGAGATCTCGAGGTGTTGTTGCGCGAAAAATACAGAATTTGCGAAAGGGTTTGACGAAAGACTTATAAACGCAAATATGAGAGTTACTTTTCATTGGCGACTTATGTCATCAGGTTACTGTTTGGGGGGTTTCAGATTGATCCAGGCGGAAATGGACGGTACCGATAGCTTGTCCCTGCCCAATCGAGGGTAGCATGCGGCTCTACTTTTCCCGTCTCGAAGTTTGTGGAACAAGCAGCGGAACGGGAGGCGCAGAGTGTCTGGTAAGTTCCGAAGCGGAAATCGACGGCTCAAAAGCTCCTCACGGAAATCCTTCCCTTGAGCCATAGTAGTTTTTTTTTTTTTTTTTTTTTTTTTTTTTGGCAATGCAAGTTACACTATAACAGCGCATACAAGCATTAACAGTCGTAACTGTAGCTGATGGGCCTAGACAACACCCTGCCGTCGTACCCATCCTGCCAACTTAAGGGGGATGGAAAAACGTGCGTGGATTGGCCTAGATGGAGGTGAAGCCACCGGTCCACGCAAGCGATTTTGCCGAGCTGTCACAGACTCTGCTTACCAGCCGAAATTCGTCCGGATCCAACCGTTCCAGGATGGAACGTTGCCCCGGCCCCAGCATAACTCCTGCCCGTTTACTCCTCTTCTTCGCCCGAAGATAGATCCTTGTGTAGGTGTAGAAAGCGGCTGCAATCCTTCGTAATACCCTCCTGGACCGAAACCGCCCTCTCTCAAACGCCGCGTCACACCTTTCCACCCATATCTTATGCAAAGCGATGGCTGCGATTGTGGATTCCGGGAAGCCCGAGCTCGAGCCTTCCTTCTGAAACAGTAAGTCCCCCAACGAAGTGATTTTCCTGCCCGTGTTGATGATCTGAAGAGCCTTTAGCAGCCCCCGCACCATTGGCTGAATCCTAGGGCAGCTGAACAAACAGTGCTCCGCTGTCTCCTCCTCCCCACAGTGCGGGCATGCCATCCCCTCCAGCAATTTTAGCCGCACCCCGACTTGGAGATTACGACAATGCAGGCGAAGCAGAACGTCCCGGGCTCGGTTCGGAAGCACTGCGGAGTCCCGCACCCTGATGACCCTCTTCCAGTCAATCACACTTCCCCACTCATCCGACCACTTCTCCTGCTGCTGCATCACCCCTTGCTGCGCGCCAAAAAGCAACCTCAGCTGCCTGAGGGGGGGGACCTGATCCTCCATGCAGAGCTCTGAGCAGCGCAGCCGTACCTCGGGGAGGCCACCCGCTCCAATCACCCTTCCGCCCCTCACCATCAACGGCTCCACCTTGTCCAGAGGGAGAACCGCAGTTGTCTCCGCCACCCCCACCAGGGGCACGCCAAACCAGTCACACGCTCGGCAGGCAAGGCCATCCTGCACCACTTTCTCTGCCTTCCAGGCACTCGCCAGGCCCTTCTTCTTCACGAAGGCCGACTCCGCTAGGAACTCTTCCCCCGTGATTGGCGCCATCAATTTCGCCTTCCAAGCGGACGGGACGCACACAAAAGCCCTGAGCGCCCTCCTTGCTTTCTTGCGCGTGCCCAGCTCCTTTGTTAGCAGCTTCTCATCCTTGAAGAAGAAACCGCCGTCTTTCGCTTGGCCGACAAAATCGCCGAGTTTCGAAAGTTCCAACCCTTTCGCCGCTTCCTGCCGTCCAAGCGGTTTCTTCCCGTTCGGCAGGATTTGCCGATTGAACACCAGCGGCTCTTGCGCGATGTCCCAGCGAGAGAGCGGACCTTTCTTCGCGATGCTTGACTGCATAAACATTTCACAAGTTTGCTTCCATCTGACGCTCCTTCCCTTCCATGTTTTCAGGAACTCCGGATGCGCCCAGAAGGAACGGAAGCCCGCAGGGAGGTCAGCCGCCTTTGTCGCCAACCAACTGCGCACCCCTCTCCTGACCAACACCAGCTTCCCCACTCTCCTGGCCGCCAGGCCGCTGAGCTCAACGAAAGGATCTCGTACCCCCAACCCTCCGTCCTTCCGAGGTCTGAAGATCAGTTCCCTGCTCCAGAGCGTGAAATGCCGCTCCGCCGACGCCTTGTTGCCGGAGATGAAATTGACCAGCAGCTTCATGATCCGCTTCCACACGCTCTCTGACGGAGGGTAAACCTGCCCTTGAAACGCCAGGATTGGGCAGACGTAAGCGTTAACAACCGCTACTCTCGCCGTCGTGGTTAAGTTGTGCGACTGCCACTTTACGAGCTCCTCCGCCGCCCTGGCCAGCGCCTTATCCCAGGTAACTTCCGCGCTTCCAGAGGGGGAGACCCAAACACCCAGAAGTCTCTCCGCGTCTTGTGGATTCACCCACGCGAAGTCTGAACTCACGCTTCTCGTCTCTTTCAGGTTAGCCCCCAGTGGGAGTAGCGCCGACTTGTCTTTGTTGACGCGGAGGCCGGACCGAGCTCCGAACTCCTCCAGCAGTTTCTCCGCTCTCTCAATCTGCCTCTTCCCTTTCAACACAAGCGTCGTGTCATCCGCGTAACCGAGGTAAGCCAATCTGTCGCCGTGGTCATCATTGATGCCTAACTTCCTGTGTTTTGCCTCCTGGCAGATCGGTTCCACCGCGCACAAGAAGAGGTAGGGGGCCAGAGGACACCCCTGCCGAACCCCCTTGCGGACGTCCACCCGGTCCCCCAGCCACCCGTTCACCAGCAGACGAGTGAAGGAACCATCATGCAGCCCCTCGCACCACCGGATGAACTTGCTCGGGAATCCCATCAGCGCCATCGTGTCAAACAAGAACGACCGCGACACAGAGTCGAATGCCTTCTGAAAATCGATCATCAGCAGGTACCAGTCCTCCTTGTCGTTGTTTGCAGCTTCTATCACATCCGCAACTGTTGACACCGCGTCCGAGAGCCGCCTGCCTGGAAGGAACCCGTGCTGCTCCTCCGAGATGACCGTGCCTAAAACTTTCTTCATGCGGTTAGCCAGCAGCTTCGCAACCACCTTGTAGCAACTTGACAGCAGGGTAATCGGTCGATAATTCTGCACCTGCTCCCTTGGCCCCTTTTTGTGTAGCAGGATGGTCACCGCCTCCTGCACTTCCTCCGGAAGAACTGCTGAGGACTCGAACTGTTTAATGAAGCCCATGAAATCCTTCCTCAGCAGGTCCCAGTGGCGCTCGAAGAGCTCCTTCGGTAAACCGTCACCACCTGGGGACTTATCACACGCCATCTCCTTCAACGCCTTTTTCACCTCTTCCTCTTAGTGAGGAGACCGCCAAAACTGTCTGACGCTTCCGCATGGTGTCTCTCGACGACTGCTTTAATCACCCTCTCTACTCCTGGTTTTGCCGTGTCCGCAGATGGCAGCCGCCAGATGCCTGGACCCATGTGCAGCCTCAGGCTCGCCTGCAGCACCACCCTTACACCGCATTTGTGGTCCGAGATGCCATTCAGCGACCGAGTGTGAGCCGCCTCCACCACCGAAGGGAGCAGTTCCGCTGACACCAAGATTCGGTCAATCCTGGAGCTTGACTTCGTCACCTTCGCATAGAATGTGTATTCACGGCCACTCGGGTTGAGCGTCCGGAACGCATCTACCATGTGCAGACCGTCGAACAACTGCAGCAACCTGCCATTTTCCCCGGACGAACCCCCCCTCGGGGACTTGTCCAGGTCAGGGTCCTCCACAACATTAAGGTCCCCGGCCAGCATCAGCTTGCCGCTGCAGTTCAGCCCAGACAGGAACGGGCCCAGCACGTCTCTGAAGAAAACAACTCTGCTACACGCACTCGCCGGAAGGTATGCCGCCAGAATCGCAAAGCCGAAAGTGTCCCATCTTACTTCAGTATAAATGAGCCTCCCTGAGGCGTGCGTCGTGACCTTCTCAAAAGTTAACTGCTTATTGTTGCTGACAATCGCCACTCCACCAGCCCTCTCCACATTTGCCACCGCCAGGCAGTGATGAAATTTCAACCGCTTCCAGCACTCGTGGTCCGGAGCAACCCTCGTGTCCGTAAGAACGTATATGTCTGCTTCCTTTTTTGTCCACTTTTTCAGATTCCGTTGCTTGCCTCTACTCCCGAGCCCATTAACATTGAGCTCGCACACCGACAGCTTGCAGGCCTTATCCATTAATCAACGAGGTGGGAGCCCCATAGCATCCACGGGCTGAAGGAAGACATCTGAAACAGAGCAAGTTGCCACTATATCTCATTGCATACATGACATGTGAGCACTGTACTAACAGGAACATCTCGCAACCTCTCCCCCTTAAATCCCGTACTCCTTGCGCAGCACACGGAGATTCAACTTGTCCTTGAGTACACGCGTGGCAGCACCCTGCTTCCCCAGCCCTCCCCGATGGCGCTGGGAAAGCGCATGATGCGCAGCCTGCTCGAAGGAGGAACCTTTCGCCTTCTCGCAACACTCCAGCAGGCAGACCCATTCCTCCCTGTTCCCTGCCGTTGAGACCAGCACCAGCGCGGGATCCTTGAGGATGATCCTGGTTGTCGTTGTGGCTACAGTCGCAGCCGCTGCACGGGTGGGAGATACGCAGCTGGAAATCAGAAACCGCCAAGAGCAGGAATGAAGCGACAGCACGAGCAGTAAAAACAGGTAAGTACGAAACACCGTCTCTATCGTTGAGCTCCTGGATCCTCCCCACTGTGAGGTTCCACTTGGAGATGTTGTTCTGGCGCTCTAAGATGAAGTCGTTATGATTATGCACGGAGTGCATTCCCCCGCAGAGCGAACACTTCAGGGCCGGGTAATGCACCATGATCTTCGCTCCAGGTGAGATTGGACTCTCGAACCAATGCAGCCACCGAAACTGATCATTCTCATGAGCGACCACCAATCCCTTCACCCAGTCAGTGTCCAGCCCCGAAACAGGGTGCACCACGCGATGGAAGTGGAAACCCTCCTTGAAGGCCGGACGCTTGCAGATCTTCAGCGGAGAGATGGCGAGCGCCTCATGCAGCATCTCCGGGGAGATCTCCGCAGCAACACCGAGAAACAGCACCTCAATAACAGCCGGGTCAGTGATCTTCCTCCTTGTGTACCCTGGGTCCTCCGGATAAAGCCAATCCAGGACGATGTACTTCTCATCAACTCACCGATGCTCAACACGGTTGCGCCAGACAAAGTTAGCGTCAGAGGCATTAACGAAAATAACTTGCATGCGACCGAAAAACCTCTTTGCAATAAAACCAGGGTCCAGTTCCTGGAAAGTTGTCTTTGCTGCGTGTTCCGTGAGCTCATTCCCCCAGATCCCCAGCAGCTCCTTGACGGTCGCCTGCGTACGGCGGACCTCCTGTAGATGTTCACTCGGGATCAGCAGCGTAAGCGGGAACCGGAGCTTCGCCGCCAGATCCTCTTTCGCCTTATCCTCGAAGCACTCCTTCGGGTCATGCGCCTGAAGGCCATCATCCTCATCATCCATGAAGTTGACGCGGCGTGCAGCGTCAGGTGCGTCCTGATCCTCATCACCAGCAGCATCATCTTCCGCGTCTGACACAGCATCCTTGAAATCCGTGTCCTTCGCCTTGCCTTTATCTGCTTTCCCACCAGCAGCCTGCTCGATCCGGAGAGCCGCGAGCTTAGCAGACAGCGTCAGCGACTCAGAGTCCTCCTTCGCGAACAGAGTGCGTGACGACTTCGACGGAACAGCCGTAACAGATGCAGGGCGAGCCGACGGACCAGCAGCAGGAGACTTCAGCGTAGCAGCAGCAGCAGCGGCATCATCAGTGACCATCTTGTTAGCTGGCTTAACAGGCCTCGCTCTGGGAGGCATGGCGTGATGATGAAAGAGCCACCACAACCAGCAAAGTGTTGGAGAAGAAAGCACTCTGAGCGCCTTAAATCCACCCGCGAAGCGAGCCTGTGAAGCCTTATTGTCAAATCCTTGAAACTGGTTGCTTGGGGTATCTCCATTGTCATGGTTGTTGAGAATAGGTTGCTGGAAGCCTTGATAACCACGCGCTGACTCAGCTGCTTGTAAAACACCTAGATGAAGAACATAGAGGTTAGGCACTGGATCCAGGCGAGAGATGACCTTAGGGAATGTCAATGCAATGTCCGCTTTATGGACACCAAAATAATATCGACGTGCTCCCTGTGATAAGGCGATTCTCATAAACTGGTTAGTAGCGTCTGTAACACCCTGGAGCACCGACATTGGTAGCTCCGAAGTTCCAGGTCGCAGCCATGGCGGTCTCAGGCGGAGAGTCATTGTCCGTGTCATTGTAAGTTTAGCTATCCAATAGGGGTTTATATTTGTTATGGCTCGAAAAAAAAAAATCGCCATAGTAGTTGAGATGCCCCCAAACCTGGGAGAACCAGGTGTTTATGCGGGCAGATTTTAGGTTTGAAAGTCTGTCCAAACCAGTTCCCTCCACACGAAGTAACCAAATGTCGAGACAAAACGGCACTGACGACTCGTCAGTTTTGGTGGCAATATGTGACTGGCTGCAAACTTTTCACTGCAGACCAGTGTATGACCAACCCGCGTTCAAAATCTCGATTTCGAGGAATTCGTTAAGTAGCAATGCCTAGTACCTGTTATATGAACATCAATATTAGAATTATGTGTGCAGTAGAGGGTACTGGCAACATACAGAATAAAACTGGTTGAAGAAATCAGCCATCATACCCATAATTGTTTTCCCAGCACCACGAGACGAGAGTCTACACTGCAGGCAAAAGGAGAACCATCCCCACATCGTGGGTTGCACCGCATTTGAGTTGGGCTAGACTGCGGGCCAGAGGAGGAAGAGCCCCACATCGTGGCTTGGAACTCGCGCACTCAGCTCCCCTGAGATGACCGAGTCCATGGTGGCCTTCTGCAGTGTGGGCGATGCAGCATGGGGTAGGATGGAGACAAATGATAGTGAATGTGTGTGGGGGTATTAACCTCCCCTGAGATGACCGAGTCCATGGTGGCCTTCTGCAGTGTGAGCGATGCAGCACGGGGTGGAGACAAGTGTGTGTGTGGGGGGGGGGGAGGATTGGAGGGGGGGTATTAAGCTCCCCCCTGGAATGATCGAGCCCATGATTGCATTCTGCAGCGTGGGAGATGCATGATGCCATGGGATGGAGAGAAATGACACAGGATGTGTGTGTGTGTGTGTGTGTGTGTGTGTGTGTGTGTGTGTGTGTGCCCGCGCGAGTGTGCGAGTCTTCGAGTGTGTCTGTGAATGAGTGTGTGTGTGTGTGCGCGCGCACGTGCGTGTGTGTGTGTGCGAGTGTGTGAGTGTTCGAGCGTGTCTGAGTGTGTGTGTGTGTGTGTGTGTGTGTGTGTGTGTGTGTGTGCGTGCGTGCGTGGTGCGTGCGTGCGTGCGTGGTGTGTGCGTGCGTGGTGCGTGCGTGCGTGCGTGTATGTGCGTGTGTGTGTGTGTGTGTGCGTGCGTGTGTCTGCGCGTGTGCGTGTGTGTGTGTATTAGGGGGGAAAAGTCACACTGACTGAACATGCATCCGCTGCACGAATGTATGAGTTGATTGCCCAAAGAGTAACCTGATACCCACTCACGCACCTTCCACAGGTCCCGGGCATGCATCCGCTGCCCTGGATTCAGCCCCATGGCTTTCCAATGGGCAGTGATCTTCAAGCTGATTGGGCTGCGATTTACCAAAGCTACCACCAGCCGACCCTCTGATAGAGGCCCGGACCAAACCTGCAGGTTCCAAGACCAGACCAGGTCACATGGGGGAAGGGCAGAAATATGAACCGTGATGCTGTGAGTGGCTACAACAGCTGCTGGTTGTTTACAGAAATATGAACCGCGATGCTGTGAGTGCCTCAGATGGAAGAACACGCTTACAAGGAAGGCAGCTGACCGCTTTTGATGGCCCATACCCATCCAAGCCTACTTACTAGCTGCAAGCAGGGGACTTGCTTTAACCTAATCCAATGTGATGCTCTCGGATCTGATTTACTAACCTCCATGAAAGCATCTTCAGAGACTTGCACCTTCCTTGCCTGAACGCCCAGTGGGTCTGCACCAAATAAGAGTATGACATGTGCGAGCAAGTGCAGAAGTTGGTGAAACACCATTGCTGGGCTTATGATGGGGTACCATTAGCAGGCACGCCACCACCAGGCATAATATCAACAGGCAGCACACAAGTTTCATGTATTGAGTGACGCAATAGCATGCACAAGCAGCAGCAAGAGAACATACCCTGGTTGAGAGCAATAACCTCTTCATTTCCCAAAATGGCCAATGTCCTATTTGATACAACTGAGAGATCGCAGCCAATCAGGAGTGGTGCCTGGTGGGAGGATGGGCGGTTTGAATGGAGGAATAGATTCAAACTAGATTCTCTGCGCATGTCAACTGTTGGAACTTGAGATCTGAAAAGAAAGTTTCTTTGAGGCGTCTCAAAACTTGAGACCTGAAAAGAAAGAAGCTCACATGCAAGACCTGGGAGGTGACTGTTGGGTCGACTGTAAGATGACTGGTGAGTCGATTGTGTATGTATGTATGTATGTATGTATGTATGTATGTATGTATGTATGTATGTATGTATGTATGTATGTATGTATGTATGTATGTATGTATGTGTGTGTGTGTGTGTGTGTGTGTGTATGTACGTATGTATGTATGTATGTATGTATGTATGTATGTATGTATGTATGTATGTATGTATGTATGCAAGTATGTATGTATGTATGTATGTATGTATGTATGTATGTATGTATGTATGTATGTATGTATGTATGTATGTATGTATGTGTGTGTGTGTGTGTGTATGTATGTATGTATGTATGTATGTATGTATGTATGTATGTATGTATGCAAGTATGTATGTATGTATGTATGTATGTATCTATGTATGTATGTATGTATGTATGTATGTATGTATGTATGTATGTATGTATGTATGTATGTATGTATGTATGTATGTATGTATGTATGTATGTGTGTATGTATGTATGCAAGTATGTATGTATGTATGTATGTATGTATGTATGTATGTATGTATGTATGTATGTATGTATGTATGTATGTATGTATGTATGTATGTATGCATGCATGGATGCATGGATGCATGCATGCATGCATGCAGATATACATGTTTACATATATGAACACATTTACGTATACGTATGCTCATATATATATACATACATATGAAGAGACGTTAATCACCTTCATGATGGCCCAGAGGCTGAAGTGCACACGATACTCTGAAGGGGGGTGGAGCCAGGAGCAGAATACTTGTGTGACGCCATTTCACGCATGTTTGCAAGTAGGAGAACAGGCTGAGAGAGCAAACAGGGGAGATTTCGGAGTTGTAACGGGGACCGTCTAGCAAGCATGGGTTGACGTAAGTGAAAACTCGTAGTTAGATAGTCTTGCCAGCTTCACACTTCCTAAATCCGACTTTGTATGGTGGTTCCCTTCCTCTGAACGCTTTAGACCCTTTGCTTTTTTAAGCTGTCACGCATTGCTACCTTTGAGCCTTCCACTGGCACTCACCGTTCCACCCGCCTGGCTTGGCGTATTTGGCCCACTTGTTGTTCTTGTCTGCAATCCGAATCATGCTGCATGTGCCATGAGCATGCATGCATGCACGGAGGGAGGGAAGAGGGAGGGAGGGAGGGAGGGAGGGAGGGAGGGAGGGAGGGAGGGAGGGAGGGAGGGAGGGAGGGAGGGAGGGAGGGAGGGAGGGAGGGAGGGAGGGAGGGAGGGAGGGAGGGAGGAAGGAAGGGAGGGAGGGAGGGAGAGAGGGAGGGAGGGAGGGAGGGAGGGAGGGAGGGAGGGAGGGAGGGAGGGAGGGAGGGAGGGAGGGAGGGAGGGAGGGAGGGAGGGAGGGAGGAAGGAAGGGAGGGAGGGAGGGAGAGAGGGAGGGAGGGAGGGAGGGAGGGAGGGAGGGAGGGAGGGAGGGAGGGAGGGAGGGAGGGAGAGAGAGGAGGGAGGGAGGGAGGGAGGGAGGGAGGGAGGGAGGGAGGGAGGGAGGGAGGGAGGGAGGGAGGGAGGGAGAGAGGGAGGGAGGGAGGGAGGGAGGGAGGGACGGAGAGAGGGAGGGAGGGAGGGAGGGATGGAGGGAGGGAGAGAGGAGGGAGGGAGGGAGGGAGGAAAGGAGGGAGGGAGAGAGGGAGGGAGGGAGGGAGGGAGGGAGGGAGGGAGGGAGGGAGGGAGGGAGGGAGCGCGGGAGGGAGGGAGGGCGGGAGGGAGGGAGGGAGGGAGGGAGGGAGGGAGGGAGGGAGGGAGGGAGGGAGGAGGGAGGGAGGGAGGAAGGAAGGGAGGGAGGGAGGGAGGGAGGGAGGGAGGGAGGGAGGGAGGGAGGGAGGGAGGAGGGAGGGAGGAGGAGGGAGGAGGGAGGGAGGGAGGGAGGAGGGAGGGAGGGAGGGAGGGAGGGAGGGAGGGAGGGAGGGAGGGAGGGAGGGAGGGAGGGAGGGAGGGAGGGAGGGAGGAGAGAGGAGGGAGGGAGGGAGGGAGGGAGGGAGGGAGGGAGGGAGGGAGGAGGGAGGGAGGGAGGGAGGGAGGGAGGGAGGGAGGGAGGGAGGGAGGGAGGGACGGAGAGAGGGAGGGAGGGAGGGAGGGATGGAGGGAGGGAGAGAGGAGGGAGGGAGGGAGGGAGGAAAGGAGGGAGGGAGGGAGGGAGGGAGGGAGGGAGGGAGGGAGGGAGGGAGGGAGGGAGGGAGGGAGGGAGGGAGGGAGGGAGGGCGGGAGGGAGCAGGTTACATGCACATAGGTTGAAGTGTGGGGGCATTACAAGTGCATAAACACAAATGTGAAGTCTATATTTCCTACCTCCCTTCCTCTACTCTTCCCCACTCTCTACTGTCCTCTCTATACTAATCCCTCTTACTCCCTTCTCCATCCCCTCACCAGTGCTCTTCCTTCTTCTTCCTCTCCAATCCTCCTCCACACACTCTTCTCCTCATCCTTCATGACTCCTTTCTCCTCCGCTCATCCAAGTGTCCCTTCTCACCTCATCCACGTGTCCCTCCTCCCTGCATCCACGTGTGCTTCCTCTCATCATCCACGTGTTCCTTCTCCCTTCATCCACGTGTCCCTTCTCCCTTCATCCACGTGTCCCTTCTCCCTTCATCCACGTGTCCCTTCTCCCTTCATCCACGTGTCCCTGTTCACCTCCTCCACGAGTCTCCAATGTCAACAGTGGTGCGCCAGGAGTCTGCCACGTCATATGCCCACATGGAAGGGTCGTCCTGCCCCCTGAAGCACACGTGGCAAGATATGGGGAGGCAACACGCGGCATGACAAGGCAAGACACACACGGATGGTGCTCGTGGGTACAGGCATAGACAGTCACTGTAGCTGAGGGCATGCATATCCAGCAAAGCACAGCAGCCTGAATGCATGCATGCGTGCGTGCGTGCACCATTCGCACAGGCAGCATTCGCACAGGCAGAGGACTAAGTGGGTTGTAGAATCGGCTCACCATTCGCACCTGCAATGGACCAAGCGGGGTTGATCCAGGCTCACCATTCGCACATGGAGAAGAAAGATGTCTCCCCCAGTGGCCTCCAATGCATTGCGCATGGTAGTGTAAGTGAGGGAGTTGATTGTTAGGCACGTGGGGCTCTTTCATCATTCACCCGTGTGAGCTCACCATTCGCACATGGAGAAGAAGATGTCTCTCCCAGTGGCCTCCAACGCATTGCGCATGGTGGTGTAGCTGATGGGGGGGTTGATTGACAGGCATCGAGCAGCAGAGGATTGGGTTGGGAAATTTGGGGGGCGGCGGGGAGAGATTGAGAGAAGAAGATGTCTCTGCCAGTGGCCTCCTATGGATTGCGCATTGTCGTGTATCTGAGGGAGTTGATCGTCAGGCATCAAGCAGCAGAGGATGAGGTAAGGGGATTGGGGGAACGTGGGGAATGGAGCTGAATCAAAATAGTTTGTTTGGATGAGAAATGAGAACAGTAGGGACGAAATCGAACATCGCAACACAAGAAGACTAAAAGTTGAGCAACAGTAACTCTAACGTTAGAGGAGAACAGGAGCAAGGCGGACAGGACACACACCGTATTTTGTTTGGGGTGCCATCATTGAAGCAGTTATCGTATTTGAGATAGTCCACCTCCTGAAATCGCATGGGGCAGTGACAAGACACAGCATGCACGAAAAGGTGAGGTGAGATTTCAGGCATCAGCTGTCATGACGGGCAGAAGAGAATTTTCAAATGATATGCGATGTTGGAACCAGGAAGAATACTTGATCCAGCAACTGTAGCAGCATGATTCCAGCCCCCTGCCTCACCCAAGTCCATGCCCTCACCAAACCTCATGTTTCACCCAACCTCCTGCCTCACCCAACCTCCTGCCTCATCCCAAGCCCATGCCTCACCCATTCAGCGAAGGTGAGGGCGTCAATCGCCTCATGCCCGAGTGACCCTGGCTTGCCTTCACATGTGCTCCTCCTAATGGTATGGGGTCGGAGGGAGTGGAGAGGGCAAAGTAGGGCACCATCACATGGATTTGAGAGTAGCCTTTGTAGACGTGTCCTGCCCCCCCCTTTTCCCTCTCCGTCCATCCCCCCCATGTCCCCAGCCCCCATGTCACCAGCTCTATCCACTCCCCTCTCACCCAGAGTCCGAGTAAATGCCCAGCTTGAGCCCCTTGCTGTGCACATAGTCCGCAATTGCCTTGATGCCTGAAGGGAAGAAGCGAGGAGACGGCGCCAGGCGACCCTGAACACGCGAATAGCAACGGCAGAGCAACTCGAGAAAGTTTGATCAAGAGCAATGGCTTGCGCTAGCCGATTGTATGGGGCATTCGACAAAAAAAACACAATCGACTAAGTAACACAGCACCTGGCGTGCTGCTGCATGATGCCATGTGGCTCTGAGTCTGCTCAATAGTTCGCTCAAAAGCTTGTTGGGATGCAAAATGGTAACGTAGTTGACAACATGACGCTGCGAGGTGCAAGCACTCAGGACTATGACGCCGCGGCTGGTGAATGCTTCTGTGTGTGTTCAATCCATGTGCAGTAAAGACATTTGCTATTACAGGGTTCTCATTTTAATCACCCACCTCTGAATCACGGGAGTCAGCCTGCCAGCAATCATCTGCACGGGAGAAGATCAGGCACAGCCACAAGAGATGACGCGTTTTGTATGAAGTAGCAAAACAAAAGGAAGAAAAGGTGGAAACACTTCATGTTAATTACAAAACTGACGTATAACGCGGCTGAAGCAGCATGTACAGCTCAATCCAATTGGCTTCAGATTCACAAATTGAACAAAAGCAGGATGGACGAGGGATAATGTATTTCACCAATGTTGACATAGACGTAGCCAAGGGCTGCTAGCCCAGATGACACGAGCTTGTCCGCTGCACGAGACAACAGCACGAAAATGGGATGGCTGGAATGGGAGCTTCCATCAGCTGGAGCTGGAAATTGAACGCAGAATGGAAGGTGAAGAGGTTGAAGTTGTTGCAAGTAGCGTTTGTGGGAAACCATGGACACCCGGGAAAAACCTTTAAACGATCAAGAGTTTGAGTTGAGGGATTCAAAAACAGAAATAGCATGGCGAGAGCGGAGGAATTCAAACAAAGAAATATCAGGGTAAGATTCGAAGGATTCAAACACAGAAAAAGCATGGTGAGAGCCGTTACCTGCAGCTTTCACAATGTCTTCATTAACATTGCACTGGAAGTGGTTCCAGCTGTTCCATCTGCCACATCATGGCACACGGACATGACATCTTAGTACCAGAAAGATCTTAGCTCCATCTGTCGCATCATCCCACACGGACATTGCAGCACCGTTGTACAACAACAGATGTAACAGCCGAGGTAAGCTCATCTTATCTCAGGAACAGATGCTGTTTCATCAAGTACCACGTGTGTAACCGGTTTCGCGAGCGTGACGAAGAGATTCAAGTACTTCGTTATTTTGAGCTTGTATGGTTACCCGAGCGGCGGAGTTCGCGAGAACTTTCGATCGCGATGCACAATTCCAGAAAAATCCAGCTTCTCTTTCCGTCCAAGGCTCAGAATTGACGAAACGGACGCCTCTTCGTTAATAGCTGCAGCTTGATGGAAGATTATAGCGAGACAGAAGCACATCGACAAGAACGAGGCTTCCATCTTTCGGTCGGACATTGCGCTGACACGAGAAGCTGAAATGCGTGTCGAAGCAAACAAGGAGCAGGGAATCGTTTTTAAACTCCAGATGATGCCTGAACGTTGATGTTTGATTAGCGAATGAGGAAGCTGGGAACCGCTACGCGTCGCATTCCTGTCACTAGCCTCTCCCGTAGTCGCGCAAGATCCCTCAAAACTTCAACGTTCGTACAGACTGCTGAGCCTCTCTCGTTCTGGAATCCCAATGTTGGACATTCCAGGTAAAATGGCGGACCCTAGCTGACAAACACACAGCGAACTGGCTGTTGGGCCGTCAAGTGTGGCTGCTTGCTCAGCTGTCTGTTGTTCAACTTCTCCCTGTGCATTTTTGCGTGGACATTCAGACAACATTGAAGGTCTAGAATCTGGATGGAATGGAAGTCCCTTGGGGGAGACCTCAAGGTGAACGTGACGGGTGAATGATCTCTTGGTTTGGTTTGAGTTGCCTTGGAAAAAATGAGCCAGATTCTCAAGGGCGGTTCGATGCCGTCGATCAGCTGGAATCGACGGATATCCTCAACAAAGAAGGTTGTGCACGGTGGGGAGGGGGTGTATTTGGACTGAACAACTGACAGAGGGTTGTATGTCGTATTTCAGGAACGCAGATCTGGCATGAAACGATGTGCCCTTGTTTACAAAGCCGCAAAACCAGAGCAGAAACTGCACCTAAGCCGTTCTGTTCCGAGTACCGCAACTGCAATCTGCAGCTGAAACAAGAGCTCAACAATTTCGTCAAATACGGATCTTCCTCCTCGAACCACCAGATTCTGTCCCAGCCGTAGATGAGGTGTCAAGCCCGTTCTGTGACATAAGCTCCACGTCACCATGAACTAATCCAGCCCTGAGCCCAAAAACTAATTAAAACCGTTGGCCTAAATTGCACAAGTCTTAAAAAGATTGCACAGTCCACTTCGTCAAGTTTTAAAAACTTGACCCGCGTAGTCCGCAATTTAGGCCGTGGGCTTTAAAGACATTATCTCATGTAGTTCAGCTGTTTTGCAGTTGGTGAATTGCGCTAGGCTGTGATTGGTTGACGAGGTAGAGAAGTTGACGAGAGCTGAAACGAGGGATGCGAAGCAAACACAAATCGCAGGCTGCTTCCGAACCACCTAGGCACGGAAATCTGGTTGGGTTCCGAAGCTCATTTCCCAGCATGTGTGTCACAAGTGCAATTGAGTGAGCGAGCGAGGATTGCACTATTGAGACAAGAATACAATGAGCGAAGGATTGAGCGAAGAATATGCTAGAATTTGAAGTGATTGAATAGGACCGTAATACTTAGGATTGTAGCTTCTTGTCGTAGCGGAAGTCTTATATTAAAGCCTGTTATGAAAGCTTTGTCTGAACTTAATAAAAGTCCATGTAGTGATATGTTTCAGGATCGATGTCTCTGAAATCAGATATATATTAAAATAACAAACATACAAAAATATATAGCTAGAGTAAAGTACCTGTTCGCCTACTGTACTGTGCTATTTTTATCTTGAAACGGTACGTAACTTTTCGCGAAGTCTATAGCTACGTACTGACGTCATCCTATGGCGCGTAGCGCTTTGCTTACGTCAGCCTATCGGTACTTTACTGTACTACACGAATTTCCTTGAAGTGCTTAAGTCTCGATATTATCTCAACACTCCCCTTCACTTCTAGGAGTTCGGTGTAGCTATCCGGTTGTCTCGGAAATTCCGCTGAGCTGGTTGCAGTGGTGGAATTTCTGTCGTGTCAGCTTCTTGGTAAGTGAGTCAGCTGCCATGTCTCCAGTGGGACAGTAGACAAGGCGCATTCTCCCCTTGTCGATCGCATCCTTGACGAAGAAGTAACGTAGTGAAATATGTTTCGTGCGATTGACGAAGCCGTGTTTGTTGGCGATGGTGATCGCACTCTGGTTGTCGCACTGCAACGTAAACTGATTCGGTGTGACGAACTTCGCTTCGTCGAGCAGTTCCTGTAAGTATAGTCCTTCTCGAGTTGCAGCACACGCGGCAATGAATTCTGCTTCAGCCGAGGAAAGTGACACGAGTTCCTGTTTCGATGAGTTCCATGAGATTGGACCAATGGGCTCGAGACGGAAAATGTAGCCTGTTCGTGACCGGCGATCTGACGTGTCACCAGCGTGGTCTGCGTCGACATATCCGCTGAGGTACATTTTGTCGGTCGGTTTTCCTGTGTTGAAAATCAGCCCGACTGTTGGTGTTGCAACAAAATAGTGTAGAGCGCGCTGAAGATCGAGATGATGTTCTTCCTTTGGGCAGCGTAAAAACTGTGCGAGATAGCTTGCGACGTACGCAAGGTCGGGACGACACGTGACTGCTGCGAAGAGAAGGCACCCAAGTTGCTGCTGGTACAGTTGTAAACCAGCTGCCAAAAGTTTGGTGTCGTTGAAAATGTACCCAGTGGGTGTAGACCGAAACGGTGTAGCGACGTAACTTGTAGGAATCTTGAAGCACTTAGCGAGTGACTCAGCATACTTCAATGCTGTGAGGTGGATTGCGGAAGAAGTTCGCGAAATATTTAACCCAAGAAATTGGGTTACTTCGGTGGAGACAGTTAAATCGAGGGACTTCTTCAGATCTGCTTCGATGCGATCACCCAGAGAAGCCGAAGAACTTACGTAGAGAATATCATCCACGTAAGCCACGAGTAGCGCGTAGCTCCCCTTGTCGTCTAGTCGATACATTGTCGGAACCCAACCTCTGTAAGTTTCCTGTTCAAGTGCTGCTGCCACAGTCGCGGAGCTTGTTTGATGCCGTACAGTGACTTCTTGAGTTTGCAGACAGACACTTGGCGGATTTGTCGGATATGTATGCGGATATTCGACGTAGATTTCAGCATCGACGTCAGCGTATAGAAACGCGTTGGAGACATCAATTTGTCGAAGCGGAAAATTCTTCGCAGCTGCTTCGCAGATAACGAGACGAACACTTGTGTGTCGGCTGACCGGGGCGAAGGTTAGCGTGTAGTCAACCCCATGAGTTTGGTCAAAACCACGAACAACCCACCTTGCCTTATGTTTTTCATAAGAACCGTCAGCTTTCGTCTTCACCCTGAAAACCCATTTTCCGGTAAGAATATTTTTATTTGTAGCTTTTTCGATGGGTATGAGATCCCAAGTCTCCCGTTTTTCCAGGGCAGCCAGTTCACGATCCATGGCTTCACGCCATTTTTCGCGATGTGGTCCTGAAAGGGCCTGTCGGGCAGTTTTCGGTTCTGCGACTTCTGAAGAATTATGCTGTACTGCTGCTGCGAGTCCCAGTATCTGAAGCCCAGTTTGATAATTAGGACTGTCGTCGGTCCGTCCTGCGAAATTGAAAGATTCACACTGTTCACCATTTGCCCCCCCAATTTCGTCAGGATCGACGCGGATGCTGCTGTCAGTTACAGCTGGCATGGGACGTCGTTGATCGTCCACCAGGTAAGTATGATGAAATTCACGAACATCGTCGGGATGAGCGTCGACGAGTGGAATGAATTCCGGAAATCCGGAAGACGTGGTTGGAATAGGTGGATCAGGAGCGGCTTCACGTGCACCGTCAATGTCAGGTTCTTCGCTGGCAGCGAGTTCGGCATCAGTACTGGCGAATGAGCGAACACCGTGGAAAAGTGTAGCAGGGTCACGCTGTGTGGCGAGGTACTGTTCGAAGACAGGAAGGGTCAGATTTTCGTAGAAAATACAGTCGCGGGCAGGAATTAAAAGTCGACTGCGATAATCCAGAATACGCCATGCAGAAAACTGCTTCTCAAGGCCGAGATGAAGACCCCACTTAGCACGTTGATCGAACTTTCCGAGCGGAGCGGTGGGAGGACGATATTGCACAACACACCCAAAAACTCGAAGAAGTTTCGTAGTGCCCAATTTTCCGGTCCACAACAAGTGAGGTGATGCGTTGTTTGGTAAAGCCGATGAAGACAGGAGGTTGTGCAACAGCGTTGCGTGGTCCATCGCGAAGGGCCAGTAGAAGGGGCCGAGTTGGGACTGTGCGAGTAGTGCTCGCATCTTTTCTTGCAAAGTACGATTGAGGCGTTCAGCTACACCGCTCTGCTGGTGAGCGTGAGGAAGTGAGAACAGGCGCCGTATGCCTCGTTCTTGCAGGTACGTTGTAAACTCGAGGCTGCGATATTCCCCAGCTTCGTCACACTGGAAGCTTTTGAGTTTGGTGTCGGACTCGCGTTCTGCGAGAGGTAACCATGTCTGAAACGCTGTGAAAGCAAGAAAATGATTAGTCATGTTACCAGTCCAGACGTATCGAGTAGAAGCTTCAGTGAACGTGATAACATATTTCTCGCCGTTGAAACCCTCCGCAGGTAAGTTTAGAATATCGCTGTAAACTTTTTTCCATCAATCGATAATCCTCAGCGCCAGGAAAATGAGTTGGGTACGGTTCGTGCGGTAGATTTGCTGCTGGGCAGATCAAGCAGGGTGATGGACGATTAACCGGTTTCATTTCGAGGCCGCCAGGTAAGAGAAGAGAATTCTTGTCAAGAACAGCTGCTTTAATTGTGTTGTTGAGTGTAGACTGTGACGGATGACCAAGACGCTTATGCCAGATGTCTGCAGTTGCTTTGTTTCCCTGTGCGCGCAGATAATAGTCGGCGTTAGCGAAGAAAGACAACAGCAACTGATGACCGTCAGCGTGAACATGATCTGTGACAGGCGGAATAAACCTGGTAAGGTTAGGTGGC